TATCACGGTGAAGGTATACCGGTGAAGATGACAGCGGCGACGACTTAGTTCCATTTAGCTCCCAAGAACGAGCTCAACTCCCTGGAATCTCATTCAGGAAGAGTATTACTTTAACGACCGACCCTCTCGCTGTTTTGTTACGGCCTATTTGTGGCATTTGCGTTCGCCTATTAATGCCGCCTGAAGTAACGGCTAACAACCTCACCAGCAAACGTAAAGCACGAAAGAGACCCACAAACTCATTCGACTCGCAATCTATCGCCACGGACGCGTTGTTTTTATAGTAAATGCATTATACATTGCAGTAGATGCCCTTAAACGCTGTTGCTGAGTTATACCAATCTTTTTTTATCTTTCCGTGTAAAAAGAACGTATGTCCACTGGAGGCGATTCATTGCAGTTATCGTCCGGTTCACTCTACTTATTAAACGAGCTCGTTGGAGGTAGACTCTGCTCAGAGAACCGACAGTTACGTCCAGATGTGGGTGAAACAATCGACGGAACAACGCCTCTAGTCAATAAAATGAAAGACGCATCTGTCCGTTGTCTTTAACTAAGGAACTATGGGGAGCTAAAGAGCTTAGTTCTAGTAGCGGTGGCCATATGTATTAATGGTCGCGTCGGAGATGCTGCATTATTTAGTATTTATTTGTTCTGGGTAGTGATGACACGTTTTATGTATTATTGTTATAATTTATCATCATTAGGCCACCAATTCGTTCCGAAATCATGAAGCTCGCAAGAAGTCAAAGCGCCTGTAGAAGCGATGCAATAGCTATGGACTGTTGCTGTTGTCGTCAGTGCATTCCGTTTGTTTTATTGCTCTCTTGCTTGTACAACGCCTGTTTTGAGGGTTCACATGAGCTACGCCTACAAATGCTTTTTCGTTTATTTACTTACAAATGATTCTCGTCATTGGTTCGTCTAACAAATTGCGAATGTGTCGTCGTAGAAGCTAGCCTATCGTACGCTTGTATATCTGGTACTCTGTATTATAAACTCATTCTTTTTACTGGAGCAGTATTTTTTTCTCTTACTGATTCGCTGACATGAGCTCTAAGGACAGCTAGGACAATTTATCAATAACTAACAAACAGCCTTTAGGTACGTCTCTGTTTATTGTGTAGGGTGTTATAGTGCAAAGATTGGCAAGGGTACGAGAGACGGATAGAAAACGTCAGCTACGTACACAAAAATCTGCGCGTTTTCCGACACATGTTAGTGGCAATACGACGAACTGATGTTGGTTCTAGCGCAACGTGGCGATGGCAATGTTCGCCGACTGCACGTATTGATTACAGGCTCTTTGAGCGTGCAGATTTAAGATACTTTACTTGCACTCGCTTAATTTTAGTGGTCTGAGAACTTTTTGCTGTACTGGTTGGTATTGGGTGTGTCGAGGACCGGGCGGAGAACAACGCTGAACCGCTGCGTATAAACTACTCGCGGTTCGCATAACTACCATTTTAGCGTCGTGATGACGAGGCTGACTACTACAACACGATATCATGTCGATAAGAAAATGATAGCCTACCAGGGCCACACTTGTGACTCATAGGGATTAGCCAGGTTTTCGGCCGAACGTGAATGCAGATCTCATTTCGACCAATGATGTAATGAAGAAGCGCTAAAAGCTCAATACCTTTTTAACGTCCTTTTCAATAACCATAAAGATACTCGTCTAAATTTTGTAGGAATTTTCCTAAGAACACAATTCCACTATTACGATATTCTGTTCAGTTCTATGCGAGTCTCACGATTCTATGGCTGGCCGATCGGCAAATCCCGCTTTCGCCTTTCTCGTTAGGCGCATTGTTCGTATCAGGACACCGCAGCGCCCTGCGCGAAACTGGCGAATCCTCGAAATTTGTGACGCGGCAAAAGTACAACGAGGGAGGGAGGGAGGGAGAGACAAAGAGGAAGTGAGAGAAAGCGGGAGAGAATGCGCGAGATAACCTGACAATAAAGTTGGCCATCACTGCTGCCAATAAAAACGTGCGGACGCTGTAACTGTGTTGTAAGTAAGGCAGGTATTTACCGTGTTCCGTCGACAAGGACAATAATCACCGAACGACTTACAATGTCCTATGTGTATCTTTCTTTCTTTCGTTTGCTCTGCGTCTACAATGAATAAAACGGCGCGGCGGCAATTCCAGCTGAACCTTAGACGAAAGCAGGTAGGCAGATAAATAAGTAAGGAAAAATAAATACCACTCAACATTGTTGTCGTTGTTGCTGTCACGCTGTTTTAGCTGGTGATACGTTGGTACATATCTTTTCGTCTGCAAATGCCCATTTCATGACAGGACGGCACAACGAGCGCTCTCCACGGAATGGGTTGGCCACTCGTTCCGCGCTGCTATTGCTATTTGCCTCTCGGAGACGAGTTGGGCACGCACACGCACTTACTGGCAGACAACCAGACATAGTGTTGCAGCATGTTATGACTCGGGGACGAAGCCACCAACTGGGCTTCTGACGTAATGTAATGTCATGTTGTACAGTAAAGATGGGAGTAACGAAAACAAGCGTACTTTGCTGCTTTATCATCCTCCCAAATGGCGTATTTGATGTCTACCGGCCTGGGTGCTGACGCCACGGCGTCTTTGTGCCAACGGCGCGCCTCAAGCAAAGACGGAGTCTTAAAGATTGTTGGAGTCATAGAACGAATGAACACCAGTACTACGAAGTCCACTAGCACCGATGAGGAATGACGAAGATCAGACGAAGAAGAGAAGTTTGGCTGGTTCATTTAAAAGTGAATGATTTAAGCAGAAATAGCAAGCAGAGACGCTTTGGGTCGAAGGGCGGAAGCTTTTGAGAGAAAGCGAATGTACGGTGCGGGACCTATGCAGTGTGGGAGCGATCATTTTTTTGTGCTTTGGTGAGTGTCGTTTGTCGACACAGTTGTATGAATCCTTCGAAAGCCCTCAACTTTGCCAACTGGCTTTTCGGTTAGCACTTACATATAGGCAAAGCTTCGAAGTAGTGGACTATTGCGCTTCTATGAGCTGCCGCGAAGAACCCTGGTGGATTTGAGCAAGCCTTAATTGATTTGGCTTGCCGCTAAGCCTGTCGGCGGCATGTTTGTCAAGTTAACTATCAGGTTCGTTCTATCATCGTTAATGGCAGGCTGTAGTTAACTGCTCTGCCACTACGGTCGCGTCCCACCGAAATCTCAGTTCCTCTTATTTCATTCTTGATGCGATACTTTTTCCACGCTTCTCTACTCCATACTTGTTTTTTTCACATATATTTATCAGTAAGTTGTGTTATCACAACTATGGTATTTTTTAATTTATCTATTTTTCGGATTATCAGTCGTATTTCGGATTATCCGCACTTTTCTCTTCATCACTTTTCGTGTATTTCACACAGTCGTTTCTGCTAGAAATAAGCGTGTCTAGCCTCTGCAAAGCTTCTCAGTTTATGCCAAACTTCGTATCGAGGAAACATTCGACACTTTCAGCTTGAAACAAATAGTGGACGCGCGTTTCTATTTTCGTAGGCGTCGCAACCCACATCAATAACCAATAGCGGATTGTTAATACAAAAATTTATTTTACTAAGTATACGTATATTATGTAAACATTTACTTAGCGTTTAACTGTGTCTTCTTGAAATGTTAAAACTCCAACTACCACGCCGACTCGTATATTGTTAGTTAGTCAGCCCGCTGCTTCTTGACTAGAAATTTATTGCGAATCAGACTTCTAGTCGATCACACAAATGTACACCTAAGTACCAAACAAGCCCAATGACTTCTAGAAGGCAAGGCTTGTAAAGATTTTGCTTTGTGAAGGGATTAAGTAGTTATTTGAAAAAACAAGACCTTACTTCATCGACGTAACACACGTAATATTTGCGCTCTCGCACGCTTTCGCTTGTATCAGTTACTAGAATATTTCAACATTTGCAAACAGTCGATTTTAATTGTGTCTAACAAATCGGCTTTCAGCTGAGAATACATTGTTAGATTTACATTGCGTGGGTCCGCTACTAGAGTATTAAGATGAAAGAAATGAAATAAATGCGCTAGTAATGGATATAACAATAAGGCTTAGTTTAACCTGTATGCGCTAGTCAGTCGTAACGGTATACTCACGTTTTTGGCAGCCGTAACGAATTTAGAGCTGCATATGGATGTTTTTACTCAAGACATAGAAGTAGAACCGATTTTCGGAAACATTTTATTATATTGTTGTTGCTATTAGTAATACTATTTTGGGCTATAAACAAAAATCCCGAGCAGGCAAGTATGTTGTTTGCTGAATTTACTAGAACTGATTGTCGCCACTCTGCGAACAAGAAGCCTTAAACGAAGCTATAGCCTGCATCGCCATAGTCAGAATGTAATCAAATGAACAGTATGTGCATTGAGGGGTTCTGTGGGACATTTTCGATAGTATCGATAATGATTTTGTTGATGGGTTGACGACGTCGCGGAACACTGCTACAGGCAACTACACGTTCGTGTGAGATAGTGGCAAGTCGAAAATGAAGAGAAAATGCTCAGTCTCATAGAAGGCTGACAGGATGTCGCCGAATTCAGTCAGTGACGATTATTTTACTTGTAGTAATAGGAATTCAACGAAAATTGCTATCATCGTGCTACTGCTGCGATATACGTATTCGATCGAGGACGCTGAGACGGAGAGGCCTTTCTAACGACGAGTTGGCCTTGCTTGGTTTCTAGCTCGATAGGAAAACTGTAGGCTCATGTTCAAGCAAAAAAGAGTCTTCAAGCACAAATAAGCACCCATCTATTTCAATTAACTACATGTTATTACCTACAATAATAAACAATCTATATATAAATGATTGCTTAGATTTGTCTGTATATCTCTCACAACGTGATACGATAGTGCGGCTGGTTGAACACGTTATTCTAATAAGCTGTTATAAAGTATTTAATTTTTTTATTTATTAATTAAAGTGTTTTTTCGCTTCATAACTTACATCAAAGTGCATATCCTGAATCTATTATGTGCCTTTTGCAGAAGCCTATTCAAAGGCACTGGATGACTCCAGAGAACATACTTTGTACGCACTACACACGGATCTGAAGTTTTTCCGACATAACGACTCTGTTGATCTGTTCTACCAAAAGCTGCGGTTATATCTTATCGATCCGCCGGCCAAAACTGGTGAGAAGCTGTCCAAGCTCCATATTGGATCTGCCGTCCAGCAGTTGTTCTCCGAACTGTTTATTTCGGTGTTTCATCAGTTAGCAAACCCTCGATTGCGCAGCTTCAGTGACGAATACTCGGATTGCCTTCGTAAGCAAAGCTCATCTATTCAGCCGTTCGGTGACGGCCCGCAGCGATTAAGCGCCTACTTCTCGAAAAGCTTCCAGGCAGCCCATCTACTCATGAAATCCACACAGTATATGTCAAAGGTAGGTTTGCTTCTGAAGCTAAAGCCATCAGTGCCTTTTTTAACTTACGCCTGAATTTAGTTAAGTTGGGCTAATTTCAGTGAACAAATACAAAAAAATTTAAAACCCAACTTAGTTGATACCTTGTGTTGATTTTATTTTCCAACAATCGTATGAAAGTCACTATGATTGCTAAGTACTTCACAGTTATTCAACTGTTTCTATTTTGATGCAGATTCTGCGTATGGCTGCTAACATGAACGTGACCAGCAATAATGGATGCGCTCGTGCTTTGGCGAGGATGTTCTATTGCCCCACCTGTAGAGGTCTCTACGATCTGCACCCATGCATCTCATTCTGTCTCAACGTAATGCGTGGGTGTTTTGCTCCCTGGGCAGATCTTGACCCGGCATGGTCCAGTTTGGTACGTTTACGGTGCAGCTAATCTACGCATCGGCATCGAGAGTGGGCACATAAGTTCACGAAACCTAGTTTGGGCTATGGCAGACCGAATTAACAAAAGAACTGTTTTCTCTCCTTTTTAGTATGAGGGCTCTAGTATATCTATATCGATATCGATACACTGTTCTATTCGATATAAGTTCATACAAGGCGATTCTGCCAGCTGTGCAACACTGTACATTAACAATATCAGATACGCCGTACACTGCCATAATAATAACGGTCACCAATAATATTATTGTGAATATATAAATATAATATTTCTTATAGCACTTCAGTGTAGATACTGTGAAAATTATTATCATTTCAAGTTATCAGCTAATCTGTAAAGATGTATCCTATCTGTATCCGTGCGATCGAAATCAAAGCGATAAAAATTACCTATTATCTTTATTAAATGCTTTTTATATCAACTGACCCTTTTTTTTCTAGGTTGATAAGACTACGCTATTGTTGAAAAAGTCGCAAGAAACTAATTGTGAGGTAGAGCACGCCCTGTTAATTCTGCCGCGGCGCTTAATTGACGCAGTCCAGTACGCAATGGACAATGGTATTGAGGTGGTAAAAAGGGTGCGCGCCAACTGCGGAGATCCCCAAGGGCCCACTGGGTCAGCAGTATCCACGTCACAGGTATATGCATAGGTCTGCAACAAAAAAATACTTACTTTGTGTTAGCAAACCAGATCTATATACCAGTTATATGAAGTGAATGCAAGCGATAAAATGTCTGCTGTTTTTTTAACATTTGTCATCACTCTTTGTAGCGGCCATCTACAATTCAACAAAGCTCGAGCCCCACAAATCTACTCACGGGGCCTGCGAAAAAACTCGAGATATTAACGATTGGGTTGCAGGTCAAACTTGGCGAAATTCGTGATCTTTTGGGTGCGTATGCAAGGAATGAATGTAAGCTATATACGAATTTTTGTAAACAAAATCTAGCACAACAAAAACAAAATCCCAACTGCGCAGGTTCCGAATTGACATTGCTATTTTGATTGCGATTCTCAAATATGATTTATCCTTCTTGCGTTTTACCTGTACCAGGTATTTTTAGTGAGTTCCTCTGTACTCCTCGCGGAAACTCGAACTGTTGGACAGGTGTTGAAAAGGGAAATTATCGCAAAAGTATAGCAGAGCGAGGCATTATCGCGCAGCGGCTAAATTCTGAAGTAAGTCTCAGTGACCATCAAACACCTATCTATCAGTCTCTGGATAAGTATTCGGCGCAGATGAAGCGCATGTCAACTGAGATAGCTAATGCGGGTGTCATGAAGATTCGTCCAGAGAGCAACAACTATCAAGGGATTGAGACGAGACAACAGGAGGGAGGCGTCCATGAAGGGAGTGGAGACCTGGAAGGCAGTGGAGACTTTGAAGGATCAGGTAAGAACCAATTCTGTTAAGGCAGGAAGTTAACATTTACCATAAAAGACAACTCAGACTCTAACTCTGTGAATCTTACGTTTTTTTTTTTTACGCTGAACTATAATAAGTCGTTATTTGGTCTAATGATCGACGTTGGAATTTCGGGGAAGTCCTCTGAAAATGTGGTATCAACCCTCACTTAAAGAAAACGATGTTATGGTCCCTAATAAGTAATGCTCAAAATCTGTGATTGAGATTTATTGTCAGATCATCGTATTACCAGGTATTTTATTGTGGTTAATCGAATATACTATGATATACATCGACCCCATTAAACACCTCACCCTGGGCAGTGCATCGTCTATTCAGACACGAGACTAACATTTTTTCCAACGGACGCTTCGTCTTCAGGCTCGGGCGCAGGTCCTGACGACGATACCGAAGCTGATCACGAACAAGAGACTAATGTGGCCGTAATGCGAAGCAATTTCAACGCATCAGTGCCGGTCACCACCGATCCTTCAGATCCAAACTCCAGCCCATCACGCACGAATCCAAGCCTTGTCGACGTCTTGTTATTGGCTACCGCTATCATTGTCTTGAGAAACTACCAATAAACGATGATATTTCTAGAGAATATCTAGCAATAGATTGCAGCTAGACACCTGTACTATATATAGCAGCATATGCAAAAGTCAGGTTACGTTGATTGCTACAGTTACACATATATAAGTATACTTCTTTTTGACGAGTGTTTCTTGATCGATGCAGACTTACGATGAAGTTAGGACACCTATCGCCTCACTTTTTATCCTCCTCGATTTCCATAGCGTATTCGGTATGTACGATATACGTATGTAATATATGAATCGGAAGGAGACACCTAGAGTAGTCCCTGACTATCTTGCCATATAGTACCTTGTTAGAATAGGCAATATCCAAATAGCCATGCCTAAATTATCTGTCGGGTGTCTCTCATTGCATAGTTTTATATTTGATATACAGATACGACAGACACACTCAAACACACGTCCGCTGATAGCTCTGACAGACACAGTTCTGCCTCGTTATAAGAGATTATTGAGACAGCCGTTAGAGATTGACTGCCAAAAGGGGGTCGCAGTGACGTTGACAGCAACAATGATGGGTAAAGTGGCATCTGTGAGTTAATTTAGTTTAATTGGCTACGAGTGCTATCAATGAGTGACTAAATATCTGCCGATCGATCCTCTTTGCAAACAATTACCGCCTGATTGATTTAATTCCCAAAGGAACAAGCACTCAGCAACAGAATCATTATAGCCGGGTCGATCTAGAATTTTAACATTTTCATCCATTCATAGTTGCAGTGGATATACCGAGAAACATCAGAGAATAGAAACACGCACATTAACATATTGACTAACGCTGTTTGGAAATTGATCGATAAGTGCTACCTACTTTAATCTTATCTCGAGGATAGCGATCTATCGATTGGCTGAGTAACTAATAATTCTCTAAGGTGAACAATGGCAATAAGATATGTCTGTTAATAGGAGCAGAACGAGCAAAGAGGCTTTACTTGCGACGGTCAAGGTCAGTAGCACGTCATTATTAATTATCTATCAATCCGCAAATGTATCGATCTTCAAACCTTTTACTAATGTAGACCGTGGAATGATCTGAAGTAGAGGTTAAGCATTGGGATAATGGGTCGTGTTTGGCCTTCCAACCTTGTCAGGGCCATTTGAGACACCGCTAAAACATGCCCGCGGCAAACCTCTATCGACTCTAGCTAATAATGATGTCCAGTTGAGGAATTTTTCGAGTGACAAAGAATTAATAGTATTTTTTGTGTACAGATTTGCGTATGTACATAGGTGGACCCCAGATGACTTTTTCCTCGTTCCGCTTTCCGTTCGAGTAACTCGGGGCGTTGATCGAATGCAAAGACACCATGCGGCGTTACAGAAGGTTAACAAGATATTGATTGAAAGGCATTATAATTGACGCGACTTCTTTCAAAGAAAACAGTTCTGGCTTTTAGGGATCAACATCGAAATGATTGGCGATACATTGTTCAACGAAACGCGAACTGGTCGATAAATACGTCAAACCGACTTTGCCATAGATCGTTCATTCCAGTTTGCTCAGCAGTGTTGACACGGCATATGACTGATCAATTTTTGATGTTCATATATATATATATATCTATCAAGATAGAGCTCAGTAATCGGAACTCGCCATTTCTTAATGATGCACAATTATTACATCACAAAATACATAACGGTAATTCATTTTTAGACTCCATTACGTACGTCCATCAATGCAGTTTCATCTTCACGCATCTGTAATATTTTCGTTCAGCTTCAATAGTATGCTATAAAAAGCGACATCGATACGTCAGCAGCGGCGCGTCTTCAATAAACGTCAGCAGTTTTCTTCACACACCACTTGGTCACTTAGTCACTCATCTGTGATAAAACCATGATTAGCGTCAAAAATAGCAAGCTCGACAAACAGATCCCAACAACTCGGCATCGATCATGTCAACAAAAACAGGCCTAATTGTAGGCTCAGATGTATGCAATGCCTACTGCAAGTATCTTCGGGCAAGAAAAATAAAGGAATAGACATAACGAAACTTATTATAATGGTAATTCTAACGTACACGTAACTTAGTGTAATCACAATGATTCAAATAGTTGTAATTAACAACTGTCTTAGCGATCGCATGAGCGTGAAACAGAAAAGAACTGTCAAAAAGACAGCTTCTTTAACGAAGGGCTGGTTCTTGAAAGGTTTTTGAAAAATACATGCCGATAACAAAACAATGTTCGCTTATCTTCGTTATGCATTGTATTTAAGAACATAGCAGACGAGATACACAGATGACGTTTTTTCTGCTTCGAAAAAGTTGAACACCCGCATCTCTTTGTGTTCGTTAACAACGACTGGAACGAATGCGAAAAAGATCATAAGGAAAACAGAATTTATCAGAATATCATATGATTGTAGTTTAATTCAAAGCAATCCTTAGATTATTTGCTCATCGAAAAAAAAAAAAAAAAAAAACAAACAAGACTATACCAAGATAATGTGCGAATGGTACACGGCAGATGGCAGCAGTAGAAAGGAGTGAGAGAGGCACTATTCTACTGGGACGGCCATCCTTTGCCTGACGAAACTCTGAGGTAGACCAAGCCGATTCATTGTTATAGAAAGATGAGAATATAGACATATGAAACATGTGAAGACCCGCCAGATATTCATGAATGTACTACTACTACATGAGCTTAAAATAACGTGATGTCCTGTTAGCTGTTGGTTGACTTCGCGCTGCTGGGACACCCAAACTCGTTTGTTCTATGTAAATATTATTATTACTATTATTATTATTGTGCTTGCGGGGTGGTTCTCCGAGCGCTTGATGTCCAAATGTATTTTTGTGCATTATTACCCGGTCGATACCCTGGCCGGTCCGTGATCGATCGACCAATGACTCAGCAGCTTTGCTAGTGACAGCAAGAATTTATTATTGTTATGATATATTCTAAACATATATGCAGACTCAAAATTGATTCATTGTACAAGCAGTTCTCGCAAGCGACGTAGCTGTGAAATTACAGTATGAGCCCGAAACGCTTTCTAAAGTATGCACAGAGCGCCGCTCAGGTAGATCGTAGTTATTGGAAAACTTCTTTCTAGTGACTCACAATAAAGATCATTCTTGCGTTGTTTTTTTTCTCGTCTTCCAAATGTTGTCCTCCGTTCGTTATGGTAATCGTAGTGCGCGCTTAAAATAGCATTATCCAATATATAGCCTGCAGACGTCTTGTTTGTAAACAACAGGTTCATCGAAAGATGCTGTGTTTGAATTATTGTCGAAGGCACCAATTACTCGAATCGGTAACTTAGTTGATAAAAAAGAGGGCTTTGCGATGTCCAGACAAATATGAAATTTACCCTATGAAGAGCTAGCAGGCACAGCTGTCGCCTGCAGATTGAAGAACTGCCAGTCTAGGTACTGATGAGCAATGGAAAATTATGCCTAAACAAGAAATATTTCGTGAACTTCTTTACAGATTTTATCTATACATACATATCCTGGAGCGAATTAACGAACAGGAAGTCTAATTGTCAAACTAATTCTAATTGTACAAACTGTATTTTCGATGCTGTTTTTGTGTGCGTGTGTGACTCAGCAGAAACTACGTGCCTTCGATTATAGCGGTCACGCGAAAATTCGTCACACCCTCAAATATCGAGCTTTTTGGAACTGAAATGAAATAATTTATTATAAATAATAATAAAGACGTGCTCAATAAACAAGCGTGTTTTTATTTATATTTTTTGGATCGGGTTAAATCAGTTACACTTAAATTTATTGCTTTTGTAGTTGAAGCTCTGCAAGTGGTACAAGTTAACAACTTCGGTTGACTTGTGTCGTGAAGGCACTTACGAGCGCCTTTGATTTGTTTATTACTATTAATGTTATTAATAAATCTTGCGTGCCAACTTAAGGTGAGATAAAAACATGAACCAAATGATGATTTATTAATAATCCAGAGTGTCTTAAGAAAATACACTCGGTCCTATTTGCACGCGTTTTGAAGAGGATATAGGCTTGCGTGAAAGCTCGGACCTCTTTTTTACCGTTGTAATTGATTGACTTTTCGATGACTCCGTGCGGAACGGCGCAAAAATCGGCCCATCGGGCCTTGTGAGCTTAGTGTTTTTTTTGGTGATATGAAACTGGTGTCTGTAAGATCGCTGTTTCGAATTCATCCTCGTGGCTAGAATTGTACTTCTTTCTACAGTGAAGTGAATATTTTGAGTGTTTGACCGACATATATATAAATACATTTAGTTCGATTTGTCTAAAAGTTTCAAACTGGCGTAGTAGAAATATGTATCGACGTCAAAATTACATATATATCTAGCGCATTTATGGCAACGAAGTACTAGCATTTAATTAGAATCGGAAATAGATTTGCAGATAATCATTTGTGTACACTTTATCTTCCTTCATGTTTATGTTTATTGTGAAAGTAAGTCGCTCCAACTTAGCTTGCCCATCTCACTGCACTGGATGGTTTGGGTCTACTAGTTTTTTACGAACCTTTCTTTACTATATGACGAAACGCAAATTGTTTACGTTATTATTATTTCAAGTCGTGATCTATTTTAAAAAGGGGGAAAACCTATAATGGCAAAGTAATCCCAAAGAAACGATGGGACCATTGAGCGAGCTGATTCTAAACGGCGCCGCCACAGAAATAACGGCGGACGCGTTTTTCAAAAGAAGCTATCCTGCTATTTTAAAAAGCGCAGCGGCAAACAAGGAGAAAGGGACAATTATAGGGAACAACGATTATTGGAACAACGGCGCGATGATTCGTTTTAGAGAACGATGATGATACGGTGGTGCTGAAGCAAGCGAAAAATAAAGTCGACAGACGACAAACAACGGTAATGGCTAGGGCTGACAAGTGAGTGAGGTCCATTGGGAACAAAACAATAGGGCAGAACTATGGCAGCGAGCCGTTCCTTGGCGCTCCTGATTGTTGGCGTTTTCGGTAGATTCAATGAAGTCTGTCGGTTAGAAGTTACGAATCATCGGTAGACATACTTTACGAGCGGTCGATGCCGCCGTAGCTATCTTCGTGCTCCTATCCAATTTTCCACTTTATCCATCGGCACGCGTTGCATGATCTGTTTCTTTTCTTTATTATTCGATAAGTAAATAATTAGAACTACCGATCTCGACACGAAAATGAAATAAGAAAAATAGAACGTCCTACTGAGACCTTTTCAAACTTTTGTCTATATTTTTTTATAATAGCAACTACTATTTATGTTTTTGCCAAAATTTTACTTTTGGTGCTTCTAATCAATGTTACATATTAGTGATCAATTTGCGTACAATCAATATTTTAACTATCATACTGACATTTAGAACTTGCTTATCGAGGCTAAATCAACTCGACTGCTCACTATGTTTGTGGTTAATCACTTCAGTTTCTTCAAAAATCGACTGATACTACTTGCGGAATGGAAAATCTTTATACCGTAAAGCTGTCATACTATAGTAGAATACTTGAGAGATGTGACGAGATTAAGTTACAATGGATTGCGAGCAGAACATCGCTCTTTTTGTCAAATAAAAAACCGTTATTACTCTTGGAAAAATTGAATTATTTAATTTTTTTTTTATTTAGTTGATATTTTTCAATTAATTTTACCTCTGTTTTATCATAGTACTCACAAGCTATATTTTTGTTACGGCTCTTTGAAGCAACTTTAACCTGTAAACCTTTAAATGTACTGACATTTAGAAACAGATTTTTCAATCTCTCATTTGTTGTCGACTGTTTACAGGCCAAGTTACCGCACTATAATATCCTCTGGGGGAATATGCAATGAATTCTTAACGAATTTCGAAAATATCTTGGCATATAACTTGGCAACGGCTTCGTATCTAAATGAATCCGATTTAATTTTGCATTGAAAATGTAAATTAGATTTCCCCTAAAGAAGTTGTGAAAATCACAGTGTTTCCCTCACACTTCCACAGTAACCAGAAGGTGGTCCATTAAGAAATGTCTGAAAAATAACCACAAATAGAAAATGGAGGAGCATTTCTATATGAGTTACTATAGCTTTTCATTTGAAATTCACGTAAAAAATACACCTAAAAATAATAGTATTCAACAATGCCAGAAAGTCCAGAATTATTTAAAAAAAAATAGCTTGGCGGTAAAATTATAGGAATATACTTTGCTTGAAATGGAGATTTCTGTCGAATGGCATAAGTGCCAAAGACTCCCCTTTACCTTATTCCACCCCCATCCCACCTGAGGTAAAGCGGGATTACAGCCAAAATCATTAAAAAAATATACCACTTGGAAAAATATCACTGAAGCAACTAATGCGTTTAAAAATTGCTGGCAAATTATTTTTCGAGATATCTATATCAGAATTTAAGAAGTCTGTTATATCGTTATGAAACGAAAAACGTAACAACTAATTGCCTACATAATATTATTTTTTTCGATGGCAGTATTAGCAAGACGCGCAAGCTTTTCCCATGTAAACTGAGTGATTTTTTAAAATGATTTCTAAACACTAATAACTCTAAACGTCAGCCAATCGTACTACCACGTTTCGAATAGTATTTTCAATTTCCTAACGTAATTCTCTGTTGCGCCACAAATAATAAGGCTATCGCAGAAAAACATGTATGTTGATCACAAACAACAACAAGTGTTGATCTTTACAAAAACTTCGATACGGTTATTTATATCACTATCGGGCAAAGCAGCAAGGGGTCAGTTAGTAGTCATTTTGATACCTTTGTTTCAAAAGTTCCATCTCATTCTGAATCAAATGTGTTCAGTAGTACTCCCTGAGTGAAACTGATGCCTGTCTTGTATCTATAAAACATTTACGTGGTTTGGTACGTAGCTTGCGTCACAACCCAGTGCACGCAATATCGATATATGCACTTGACAGGAAATAAACCGAATAAGCAATAATCTCATATGAAATTTTCCGTGTTCCTTCAAAATGTTCGTTTGATAAATTGCCGCCTAATTACTGTGCTTTCTATTGACCAGCATCATAGCTTATTCATTTAACGATAAGCTTGTGAACGCTTAACGGCACTTCTTTTAGTCGTGGCTGCATAGCGCGATGGTGAGTGTTGACTACAATTCAAAAAAACGAATAATTATTAAAAAAACTCAAAGTGGAAAAAAGGTGGGCTCAAATGTTATATTAATAGTGAATGCGAACACGCAAAGGAGTTAGATACGACCAGGAGAGTAATTCCTGTCGCCAATGAAAAATTATTCCAGCGCTACAAAATGACTTTGTGTTGAGCGTAGTATAATTTCTACTAAATTAATTGTCGAAAATGTATTCGCTAAGACATAAAAATGATTGCCTTTTACCGTCAGTAAACTTTCCACAACGCTTTTATGATGACCACTTACCTATCGTAAATAGATAAGGGATATAATAATCGGCGGAAAGGGAGTAAAATGTCTAGGTAAAGGCAATACCCTATATTTCCGTCTGCTATTATTTAAATGCTTCTGTTATTTTGTTGGTAATATTTTTGTCTCTTTGCCCTTTTGCAGGCCCTTTTCATTTTGGTGTTGGCATTTTACTGCAAAATCCTCGGGAATTTGCCGCCTGTAGCTTTTTTATGCAGCAAAGGCAATTGGTCCTGCCGATGATGTCTCTTTGACATCACCTTGAGATAAGTCCGGCTCTCTCTCTCTCTTCAATTCTCATCGTTCATCAAGTGTAAACATTTTTATCAAAATAACGAATATATAAATAGATACTAGCATTGTAATATTACTTATATTATCGTTGTTTACTAATATAGTAATTGTCGCAGGCAGTTCATATTACTAAGCGTCATCTTTCAATGATCTACTTAGTAAAAGCTTTAACAAGGTAATAATAATACCAATAATAATTACTAAGCTCGACTCAATTCTACGTCTAAATCTGGGCTTGTCCTGTCTGTCTGCTGTATGGCAAACACCACGTTGAATATGCCACTTGAATATCTTGCAACTTCTTTCTTGTTTTTTTTCTATAAACCTTTTTAACCACGAGTCACCAGCCTTTAAAACTAGAAATAACGTTGTATTCACATAGTTGATCCCAGCATAATACTACTCCATTACTGTAACTGTTTCTCTTATCACTTCTTTGGCATGACGTATCGCTTACGGTTTTGCCATGCGTTTGTGTGAACGTTTTCGTTTTTTTTTTCGATACTTCGCTATACCACAACGTAATATGATTTTTATGTTTCCGTTAAATTACGCGCCGTCTATCGCTTTTGATTAAACGCGCGGGCGCTAGGTTGCTGTTTACCATCGAAAGACTGCCGTGCATTGGCATAATGCCCAGATACACGAATATTTCAGCTGCCTGTAGACGAACTTATGCCATGAAAATAGTCGTCTTTGGCTGGTATCCGCCAACGCTATCCCAGCTACCAGCTATTAGCAGACCAATCTAGCTAAGCATAGCACGAGCGAAACAGACTTCTATGGCCGCCAACCCAGTGGCGTAGTCAGCGCTCTACGACAACATAGCCAGACTAGTCACTAGTCATCTTCGCTGTGCTGTGCATGATGCTATTGCTGCTCGTATAACTGCTGCATGCTAAAACTACATACTTGTAGTAGAGAGACTACAGCAAAGCCAGGGTCCAATTCATAAAAAGAAAGCAGGCTAGTTGGGCTCACAGCAGCAGCAGCCAAGAGTTCGCACTGGCAGTAATTCGCCGCTGCTTGCCACTCAGCTGTTCCTCTGGTTATCAGGCAGGCAGGCAGGGTTGTTGGGTTAGGCGGTAGACATCGAGCAAAAGCCGCTGCCGATGCCCCTCACTTTGCTGGCCACAGTCATGTACCTGTATTGAATACTACTGTTTCTCAACTGTGCGAGTGAGTCTGTGGCTCAGCTCTGTAAGTGTGCTTTTTTAATACTTCAGTTCATTGGTTAATCATGCAGTAGAGCAGCCCTGCTGTTTAACTGGACCTTTTTTGCGCTTAACTGGGCGACGGACCGCGGGTCCTTCTTTGCCTTGACTTGCGAGTGGACGGTTACAACTACGACGAAAGCTGAGCAAAGCGAGCGGCGCATCTTCTCCGCGTTAAAGAAGTTCTGCACAAAAACAAACGGGAAATTCACCCCTGCACCATAAACTGTACCATTTTGGGGTTGTCCGTTTCATCTGCAGTGTTCCTGTAACTGAATGGATAGTCAACATACCACCTAATATATGTGGGTCACATTAGGCGATCTCTTGTCCGTGCTTCATTTCACAGGACTCCCGTCACTGCGTTTGTTTCGTGAATTTCTATAAAACAAGCATTCGACCTCTCCACTGCTAATATCTGACTGGCTGCCTGATAAACTTTAATGTTACTGTTTTGTCGCTACATAAGTCACGCTGCCAATAATCGTTAGCCTCACGACTAGAGGGCGATTGATTAGCTATCCGTTCCCATTAAGCCAAAGATAGTTGCCAAAGTAGATAACAACAATTACAACAACGGAAGTTCCGAATTGATAAAAACTGCCTAATGTGCATAATTGTGTTGTGCCGGCCAAAAAACCTATCATTACGTTATGGTTCTGTTATGGTTTAGTGACTTTCTGTTACAGCAATCGCAAGGAGGAGCTCATCCAGCTGATGATGCGTGGGCTTCAATGTGGACTGTGTCTATCGTCTTCTCTTTATTGACGCTTACCGTGTGAGTCTGTGCATTCGCGGAGGAACGGGTGGCAAACTATTGCGTTCGACCCATTTCATCGTCATCTCTCGGTCTCTGGACTACCTCGTTAGGTGGGATGTCGCGTGATTAAGCCAAAATAAGAGCAGCAGGGATTGATCATGCCTGACGGCAGTATCTGGAAAGCTGATCAAAAAATAGCAAGCCCGTGTAGCAGCCATAACCTAACGCTTCAGGTCTAGATTCACTGTTTGTGTCTGTGCGTCAATGAGTGTGTATGCGACCATTCTGTGACTCATATCACCACAGCCATTATTATCATTTATATTAGTAAAAGAACAATTGAAAAAGTACTGTTGCTTAAACGTGGTGCTTAGTGGTTGAGTGATCTATGCCATCGGAGTCGACCTGGGCCACGGATAGTATCTGTGGTTGTGGCGCCGACCGTAGGCCAGCAGCGTCAACAACAAGAGACGCGACCACCGAACCTACGTCAACTGCCGTAGGAAGAAGTGGTGTTGACAACATACACCCTGCTGTCGCGGTTGTTGAGGCTGAGGCTGCTGCCGAAGTCGCCAATGTTGTACTTGGCGTTGTTAGCACCACCTCGACTGTTGTAGCCGTTACCAGCAGCACGACCAACGCGATCGTTACCGATACAACAAGTTCGGCTCCTTCTCCAGCTGCTGTCGTCGTTGATGTTGATGAGAACCGTGACCCTGCATCCTCACTAGTCGAGATTGAGTCTTCGAGTTATCATCAGGCAGGAAGCGACTTCGTTACTACTAGTGAAGGAGTTCCTGCTGCTTTTGTAAGTTCGAGTACGAACTTTGCCGCTACCTTCGCCTTTGCCAACGCTTCCTTTGACGTTGCTGCTCCTGCTACATCCGCCGTTACTGATTCAACTGTAGCAGTTGTTGTCACAACGACCACAACAACAACAACAGCAGCAGCAGCAGCAACAACAGGCATCACAGGTACAATCGACACTGCAATAAGCAAGATGGAAAATCCGACAGCCCACCAAACTGCCGAAATGTTTGAGGCATTAAAAGGAGGAGATGAACGTCTTCGCCTCCTTTACCCTGCTGTCGACGAAAGTGAAACACCGCTTCCTCGCCAGTGGAGCCCCAAAGATAAATTCACCTATATTGGTCTGTCCCTCCATAATCTACGAGTTCATTATAAAGGTGAGACCACAACAATGGAAAGAGGACGACACAGAACATATGAAAGTGCAATGAGAATAAAATGACTGTGGAAATTATTCAAAACCGGAAAAATAATGACTTACGATATAACAGCCGTGATGTAGATGTGCAATGTGAATCAATTATGCGCTAATAATTTGATGAAACTCTGATGAAAATTTTGTGGTTGTTACTAAACATCGCCAGTAGAATTTTCATTCCGAAATGGAAGATACTAAGTTTATACACACGCGGTAGCGTGCATGAACAAATGCGCCAACTGAATGTGGTCGTTCTGTCATTTGATAATACGAAATATGCGACCTTGTTATATTACCACAATAGCCACAATGGTTTGGATGTCCCATTTTTGAGTGTATCTAGCATGTACAAGTTCAGCACACATGCTAAATAATTCTGTGAAAACATTACCAAATACAACAACATATAAAGTATTTGTGCAGATCAGGATACCTTTTTTAAATATATATTTGCGGGGGTATATCAATATGTCAAACGGCAATCCACCAATATCTTTGATAGAATGTTAAATTCACGCTCAGCAGTAGAAAAGCATTCAAGGCGTAAGCAAACAATTTTATCTTCTCCTTTGCAACGGCGCTCGTGTTTATGTTACGATTCTCTCATAAAGTAGTATTTCCGCACTTAATGAAATAGTTGGTTGATAATAGGTTCTTAGCGCACCTATTCATCTTCGATGGTATTAGTAGGAATAAACGCCACCATGCTGTGATCTTCGTACTTTGTTTAATTTTTAATGACGTAAATATGCGCTGAGTTCAGCGTTATTAGTGTCTTCGAAAATTGTGCCGAGGTTTCAAACAACAATACGTCGAGATGGCTGACGAATTTAGTACACTTTACAAGAAGAGGAGTCAAGATTACCTGATCGTATTGTCCGCCACCTACCGATAACTATAGAAATAAACACGATACACACCTATGCATTAGGCAAAGTTTTTAATTACATAAACCGTCGTGTAAGTTCAAAGAAAAAAATATTTGATTGAGTTACTTATAGTCCAGGTAATAATTAAGGGCTGAATATGATATGCCAAATATGCCCAGATGACCCATTGTGCAGCTCTCGTGATTGAAAGTATGATTTAGAAAAGAGTGGACCGCGGTATGATCATGACGCAGCGCTAAAATTAATAATAGTATGAAAGATAATGTCAAGATGATTCTAATACTGTCAACACTTTTATTGCACGTGACACTAAGTAAAATATCCTGACTCACCTATTCTTCGCCCTGGTTGTTTTTTGCAGGTACTGGGAAAAATCACAAAGACGCAGCGAGTGTCCGTGCAACGCACCCAATACCGGCTGCCTGTGGTATTTACTATTTCGAGGTCAAGATCGTTTCCAAAGGTCGCGACGGGTACGTTCTTTTCTAATTAAGGACTTATATGGATGTGTTTTTATATGCTGATCAGTTTTAACCCGCGTTTTAGCTAGCACTAGTCAGCTTCGTGCTACTAATATTCGGTCACCTATACATATCGTGTACATGCAGTGCATCATCGGTTTACTGGACTAATGAAGAGTTACAATTTACTCAAAATTCAGGCCCACTGAACAAAACACGGAAATAGGAAGTTACGGCCTTAATCACGCGTGTCACGTTGTTGTTGTTGTTGTTGTTGAATCCGATGTGTGGACGATTGTCGTTCGGTTTCTTTTCCCTTTTTACATGCATTTTTTCGAATGATTTCTTTCGTCTGTTTTTTTGAACTTTTCCTCTTTCCCTTAATGTTTCTCTATCATTTCATTGTTTCTTTTCACATAACTGTCCTTCGCGCCAGCCGTTCACCTCTTGTTCTTTATTATTCCAAACAATTTTTCAAATAATTTTTTCGCTATGTGACCTCCCTTTTTCTTGATTTTCAAACACATACGCTTTGTGTTTTCAACGCGTTTTGCCTTATCAGCGATTCGGTGTAGGTCAAGCTAATTTTTGTGGTGTCGGGATAGCTTTGAAAAAATTAGTTCTGATTCTGGCTTGTCTATTTTTTTACTCAAGAACGATCTATTGCCTCTTGAACCTTTGTCTACAGGTTTTCCTGGCCGATTGCAAAACACAAATAATATGAAAAAAGTTCTTACCTGATGTTTCTTGTTTTTTTCGTTTGCTCTGAAAGATTAAATATTTTATAGCAGACTACCTAAACGCCAATGGGATTATTTCGCTTTTATTTCTCATGTTTGCTTCTTTATTGTTTGTTATAAGAGAGTGGGATGAGGAGAAGCGTGAGCCTATTAGTTCTCACACAACAAAACATTGAAGCCAAGAAATAGGTGGATGTGTAACGTACTTTTCATGAGAAATGTAGAGGTTTCCCGTTGAAACCGACTAGGATGTACGTTGTTTTTTATAAAAGAATTTTTTATACGGTGCCGGAAGCATATACAGCATGAAATATATAAATAGAATATTGTATACATTTAAAAAAAACGTTTGCAGCAATCCGAGTCTTAAATGTGTAAATAAACAACAAAATCGCTATCTCAATCAAAAGCTTCGGGTAAAAAAATGTAATTGGTCTCAGCATATCAAAAGTAAGAGTTAAGCAAAAAATGAATAGTACATATTCTTATTAACAAAAGAAAAAGAAATTAGTTACGTAGTCTTTTTATTGACTGCAACGGAAGGTAAAAATACGTATTGTTCTGAACAAAATAATCTTGATTCGCTATCTGAAACTAATTAAGGGTTCGCCTACCCAAGAATTTTGCGAAACATATAGTCTTAAAATGTACTTATCGTAAGCTGTGTCTTATATTTAGTCTAAAATGGTAGGCCATGCAATACGTATAATCTGAAATCGTAGTCTTCTTCTGTTTGCTGTTTGTTACACTGCTCCCTGTCGTGTGTCGTATTCGATTTAACTTTTTCCTGCCTTCTTTTTCTTCCCCCTCAATTATGCTTCCTTTTTTCTGGCGTTTTCATGTCGCCGACATTTGAATACTGGACATTCATTCCGCGTAAAATCTGGCTTTCCCTTTAAATTCTGAACTCCTTTTCTTCTTTTTCACACATATTGCTTGATTTCTTCTTTGATCCTGTTTTTCTTTTGGGGGTTCCTCGCTGCTAACTCACTTTCGTTCTGTGCGCCATGCCTTTGTCCTACCAAATATGCATCAAATATCAGCTATATGGGAGTTGGCCTGTCGGCCCACGGCGTAAATATGAATCGTCTGCCGGGCTGGGACAAGCAATCGTACGGGTATCATGGCGACGATGGCCATTCGTTCTGTTCATCTGGAACGGGTCAGCCGTATGGACCAACTTTTTCAACCGGCGATGTAATCGGTTGTGGCGTGAACTTGCTCGACAATACCTGCTTTTATACGAAGAACGGCGTGAACCTTGGTGTAGCCTTCCAGAACCTACCGGCAAACCTCTATCCGACGGTTGGATTGCAGACGCCAGGCGAAGTGATCGATGCAAACTTCGGACAACTACCATTCGTATTTGATATTGAGAGCGTGATACATGTAAGTAGGTACACAAAGAACGCATTAAGCACAAAAATTAGCAGTTAGAATCGCCTCATATGGTATCGATATTTCATTGTCTGGGATTTGTGTATCAGTAGATTGTACAATCGAAGTATGATGCTTATAAATGTTCGAATCTATAGTAATGATGTCTCTCTATGACTTGAATAGGAAATTGATGAAATATTAGTCACTATTGTAAGCATTATCGTGCTTAATAAAAAATACTCTATAACAGGAAAAATCAAAGATTATTGGTGCCTAATTGTTTATTTTTAATATGCTACTGTCGTGGAAACCTCATTTTTGTTAGCTTTTTTTTCTAGGCAAACTCAACTTATCTGTTGATATTTCGCGCTTATAATTAACAGGAAGCTCGTGCTCGTACAAGGGTCCAAATCGAGACGTTTCCTGTGGCTGACAGTCAAGGCGAGTTCCAGACTACTCTTCATAGTTTAGTACTTTCGTTTTTAATGCACCATGGCTATTTATCCACGGCTGAATCATTCGCAAAGGCCACGGACCAGACTATTGACGAGCCCCTCGAATCCATCCGTAACCGACAGCGTAAGTGAACATACTCCAGCACCACCGAAAAGATATAACGCTAGAAAATTATTGAAAAACTAGCATCAAACAGACACGTTTCCTAATAATTTAATATTACTTCTAGGATGCTGTGCGTAGAACCTTGAGCCTCAGTCAAGTCGATTTCTATAAACATTTGATTTAATTGTTTATATCAATATAATAGTTTACGATGTCCATAGTACGCTACCATCTGCGCACTGTATGTGTGTAAGTATATCTATTTGTTTCTGATTGTTTCTCGGGACAGGTGTGCGGCAATTGGTGCTCGCCGGCCGAATCGAAGAAGCGATCAATATGACACGTCAGCTGTATCCAGGTCTGCTGGACTCACGCAAACCATGCCTGAGGTTCCAACTGATGTGTCGGCAGTTTGTGGAAATGGTCGCTGACCTTAGTGAGAATGGACGGGATAATCGAAATCAGAATTCAGGCGATGCCCTCGACCTCGAAGAAGGCGCTGAACGAATGGATATCGAGGAGAACCCGCGGTACGCTTCGGCACTACCCGTCGTGTTCCCGGCGACAGCACTTCGAGATTCTGACACCCGCCCGCCGGTGACACTTGAGAAGATTATCGAATTTGGCAAGGAGCTCTACGAGTTAGAGAAGTCTCTCAAGGATCCTGATGGAAAATACAAGCAAATGCTATTTGTAAGTAACCGCCGTCGGAATTCTTTGAAACAAAAACCAAAAAGCAGTACAAATGACTACTCATATATATCATTTGCAAATTTGGTCTACTACTGGTGTGTACTTATATCTATTCATTTATATGTACAAAAAGAGGATTTTGTTGTCAAGTAATTAGTTAAATATTAAGGAAAGCTAAACATAAAACTTGCAAACTTACTTATTTTAGGACGCGTGCGCCCTTTTGGCCTACTCGGATCCTACGCAGAGTCCTGTTGCATACCTTCTATGTCCCTCGGAGAGAGAGCCTGTGTCAGCCGTGCTTAACAGTGCAATTCTCGGTTAGTTAAGGATTGTACTGGTGCTAATAAACTTTTCCCAATGGGGTAACCCCGTAATATCCTTTTGCGAATATAAGTTTAGTAAATACTGCTTACGAACTAAAAGCAGTCGGTCCGTTCGTCTCTTATTTTTTATATAGATTGCGAAAGCTCAACAATAAATAGCCTTAATTTGGAATTAAGGCTAGCTCACTCGAATTTCATAGGAATTTTATATATAGCCGTTCGCATACGAATAGTGCGTGTTTTTTGTGAGTTATGTTTCATAAATAGTCTCCTTTATTCTATTCGTGTGGTCGCGAAAAAGCAAAACTTAAAGCAAAAAATTCTTATCTTTTTTCAACACTTTCAGAGTTGCTGGGTGACAAAAGACCACCGCCTCTTGAAACGTCACTGAACCATTGTAAACGGCTCATCAAGCTCATGGCTCAGAGTGGACTAGGAGCTTCGGCTTTCGCGGATGTGGATTCGACGCTCAACTAGATAATAACAACAAAGAGCACCGGCAATAGTGTGCAGCCCATACCATAACAATGGTTCCCGACGGACCCGTCACAAGTTAGGCGAGCCGCATCCAGCTTCGACTATCGTGTGATCCCTTGAAAGCGCGTCTTCAGCATCCGATATTAGAGATGTCAACTTATCACTTTCTTCATTTAAGAAAGAAATTTAAATGTATCTGATCAGCTCTGAAGGTCGCCGCTTACTTCCCGAAGTAAACGTTAGCAATCGATAACTGCAAGAGTAAAGGATGTATTGTGTAAGCGTGGATGCGCATGGATGTTATGTGTAAGATAATCTGATGTTCTTCAAGGACATCAAATTGGTGAGAACGCTTTCATTTGAAAGCAAGCAATTCGCCTGATATAAGTACTGTACCGTAGAGCGACCGTATAGCATCCGATACGTGTTTGTGAAGGTCGGTTTAGACCCATAAAAACAAATGAAAGAACGACTTTTGTCCGACCCTTAACATTTACGTTTCGATGCCTGTAATTTAGTGTAACCTACGTAAAGACCTAATGACTATACTAACTTCATTCGTCCAAAAATTATTCGATATGCAATTCCGAGCGTTCAGAGAAGAGGATAACATAAGCTGAATTTCTAAGCGCACTTCTTTCATCAAAAGAAAGAACAACCCTAAGAAACATTGCTTTATCTGTGGAAACGCAAATATTGGGAAATACAAAGTAATTAATAATACTAATACTATATTGAAACAGCAAGCTTCTTTATGTAAAATCCTCTGTGGACGTTACCTGTCATGGGTTAGCCAAAAAGTTTTGTTTCTGTCATCGACTTGGGTTTCGCAGAAACTTCGCGTGTCTATGGCGTTGCGCGATCGATGACACTGGCAGGACTATGTAATTATCGCAAATGGGTACACGTATGTGATTTCTCTCATTTGGTAGCAGAGCATTATGGTATACATGCTTCACTTCTGTAGTTAATTAATGAACGCGCGGTCATCATGCTGAGTCATTCTGTGACTATATGGCAACTACTGGCAGAAACTGGCAACATAGACGTGTCATTTTTACCTGATAACTGGTTGATTAATTTGGTGTCTGAGTAAATGAGTATTAGATGATCGATCACTCTATAGGAATATTACTATAGTAATAATGAGAATTGACTGATTCATAGAATGATAAAAAATGCTTTCTGCTTGAGCCACATTGCTAAACATTATTATTATTATCATTATTACTAATAGTAGCGGTACTGAAAATGGTATGTGAACAATGAATAATATATATATATATATATATATATATATTATGAATGAAGACTGAACGAATAATCCTGTTAGTGCTTACAATAAGATAATATGAAGATGGAGATGATAACATATGATGGTGACATATGATCTTGAAGAGCTGTTGATGGATACCCGAGAACGACGGAAAAATATTAAATCCATGAAGTCTATATTGGTATGGTACAATAATATTGCCCAGCACATACGCGTGCCGCTAGAAAGGATGAACTGTTGGTAATTAATGGACGAATTATTATTGACATTACTATTAGGAATAATCAAGAAGAAAACTGCATTAAAGAAAAATTGTTTTTTTTTTTGTTGTTGTAGTCGTTATTGTCACTTCTTGAGAGTTTGAAAGCAAACAATTTGTCGAGCTTAACATGTGACAAGTGAACAAGAAATAATTATTTTTTTAAGCATGCATACGTAATTACATTGCTAATTAGTATTGAGTACTTAGGCCAATAGCTAAGCACGTGCAGACCAATCACATGTGTGTGGGGCACACAAGGAGAAAGAAAGAGCTGACCCGGGGTGAAGGGTTATAACGTAACGGTGTTCATGGCGATAAGATGTTAAAAGGTATCATCCTTTGAGCAACTACATATATACTAGTAAAAAATAATATTATATACCTAGAAGTGAAGACATAATGGACTATTACTAGCAGAAGTAATAGAGGAAATCTGTATGATCCCAATATTGCTAATACTGGCAACAAGCTGTCTAAAACAGTTACTGTTGACTCACCTCCAGGAGATAGTGCCAGATTGCTAATATTATTGTTCTTATTACCAATATGTAACTATGATATTAATTCAAACAAATAATGAGAGCATCTTGGAATATTCTAGCTAGAAAATAGACAAAAGTAATTCAGTTACATAGGTAAAAAAAGGAAGTAGGACAATTAAGTATTGTGAACTTCGGGTCAGCGTAGGAGAGCGAAGCACAGTGGGTTCCCAGATAATACTTTCCACAGGTTTCATCGGAATCCTAAGGTTTACGGCCCGATAAAACTAAATAAATAAGTGTCAAGAAACGTGATTCATTTATTCTTCGATACGAGTCATCTTTTCGGTTTTGATTTAGACCAGTAAATTGTCACAGGCAAAGTAGAACGTTAAAAATAGAGTACAGTGCACATTGCCTATATTTGTTCATATATTGTTAAATTGGTGGATTCATATTTTGTCATTTATATGATTAGAGCAGATGGAGTTGATTTTTTATAATTCACCTAATGGCATCCTTTAACCCTTGTCAAATCTCGTAAATGTATATAGCGGTACTAAATTTGTTTGTACCTCCATGTATATGCTGAGTGTTTGTTTATTATAGATGAGCTTATATTAGACATGCACTTTTTTTAATTTTTGTATATCTTAGTCTAATAGACCTTCTATTTACTGTATTTAACCTTTTGCCAAAATCTACCAAGGGCTGCCGAAGCAGCCTTGAATATTCATGTGCTGTACTATGTGGACTGTTCGTTTGAATAGACTGCTCCAAGTTGGCCTATTTAGTTTAACGATACCATCTTGTAACTAGGTAGAAAACGTATCGCCCGGGCCAGCCATCTGAGATTGGCAGATTGACGGGCATTTATGAGTAAAAGTGCCTGGAAAACAACTCATGAATTGAACAAGCGGACTATCGCTAGATATCATGTATCAATTAAAGCCTGAGTATTTTATAAAATAAGTACAAAATACGCACGGCTTTCGTTGTTTATTACCGTTCATATAACATAGGGCAATGCGTTATAACTGGGCGAGTTCTTCAACACTAAATCTAACAGTTCAGAAGAAGCTTATAGTGGGTGATAGCAAATACATAATGAGTGTAGTTTGCTATGCTAGTTTGAGTAAAAGGGTGCTGTTCGTGTTAGCTGGAGACCGCGTATACTACTACGATATAATGTATCAAATTGTTGGAATTTTGACAAATACCAATATTATTTTAATCTGTGAAATATGTTAGGGCTTTATCAAGAATGCGTTTTCATCCAGATACTCCACACGAGCCAATTTATAAGGGCTGGTACTTGCAGAATATGCGTCTTCGAATGATGTTCGTTTCCGACTTTGTTCTAATGATTCAAAAGTTCGATATCTTCGTATGCTGATCATTCTTGTATTCTTGCATTGACATGGTTTCGCCCACTAGCATAATTAAACTACTACTAGTAGTCAAAATTACGTAGAGAAGTTTTACAGCCCAGTTTCCCCATGATCGATTGATCTATCACAGCCAGTCTAGACATCAGGAACCGACTAACGCACAATAACCACAATAATAGCGTTAGCAACAGTAACATAACGCTAGCTACAGGTGGCAGTTTATGGGACTCGAATGATTCGTTGCAGCTGGATGGGCCAACATTTGCAGCGGTCGTCATGAGGCGTTGCTGGTGGCTAATTTAACACCCCGCGACTCGTCCTTTCTCCTGTGTGCGTCCAGGCCGTCTGCTGCCAAAGACGGGTGCACCGGACTGTGTGGCTACACCTGCCTCTATGATATTTCGCCAGCAATTACACACCAAACAGCAAATGTCTAAAAGCGGCCGGTCGACCCAGTGTTCGAGCTAGGCCAGTTCGGTAAGCAGTCAGTCATTAGTCGCCAAAAAAACGACTCGAATATGTCTGCTACTGCTGTTAGCGGTATTGATGATTTGAGATGCTAAGTAATGACGGTGCTGTTTATCATACGTTAGAATGACGCCACCGTGTTTTATGGCTCGTGACTGTGCAAACAGTAGCAATCGCTAGCATCAAAACAACTGCCCCAAACATTGGCTATAATTAACGTGATAGTACGTGGATCTATAGTGGCCAGACATAGTGAAGGGCGCACACGGCCGACAGAGACAAGACTTAAGAACAGATACGAACAAAGTCTAATCTTTATTGTTACAAATGCTTTGACGTTGCCGACTTCGTCGTTATCATCCGTGTTCCTGTGGTCAGAGTACCTCCACACGTAAGCTGATGGAGTCTTACTGTAGGTGGTCGCAACGGCTGCATTTGAAACAGCAGCAACAGGTGTAACCAACTGTGGGCGACTGAGCGCAAACGTTTGCCACTATTGTCAGTCGCTAGCCCCCAAAAGGTAGTAATATAGACAGTAACAGTACAGGAGATTGTAAAATGCATGAAAATTCGTATTAATAAACTTGAAAGCAACTTTCAAGAATAAAAAGATTAAAGTTGCCTAATCGAAACGTAAAGTTAAAGCTGTTTGAATAAACCGCGCACAATGAATGAAATAAACAAACTCCGGTAAAATGAACAAATGTCGACCCATTGAATCTTGTAGTAGCGGGCTGAAAATCCATTGGTAACAGATCATAGGATCTCATGTGTGGACATCACGCATCGTTTACTGCGCCAATTACTAGTATAGACCACTTTTGGTGTCAATGATAAAAGACATACAGACAAGGTTGTAAAACCTTCACATCTGCAAAGCTCATAGACTTGTTCTGACAATCCTCGCTCAAGCTTGGCCATTGTTGGTTAAACTCTGCGTTTTAAGAGATCTTGCTAATCTCTTTATTTAAATCAATTTTTTCACTTAGATAAATTTCAGAATCGTATTTTTTATTGGTTTCATTGAATAGGTACTTGCTTCACTCATAAACTGCTCATCTGTAACATTTTCATTACTTAACTAAGCATTTTATATAAATGATCGAGGAGTTTTCTCAGGTCTATTTCAGTCTTAGTGAGCTGCTTACTGCTTTTTAAGTTCAGATAAGAACTACTTAATTTGCAGTATATAGCCAAGAAATATCAAGCGTTCCAAGTTCTATCGTCTACGCTATTTCATTCTTTAGGCCCAATGTGGTTGCTGAAACCTCTCAGTATGAACGTTTTGCAATACTTAATCTCTCATACGCATGGTTAAAATCAATTTTAAATACAATACAATCAGTTTTACAGCGAAGTTTGGGGGTTCATCCATGTGTTTCAGACGATATTCTTGGAGACTTCGTTCATATTTCGTTGCACTCTGCATTAAATCTGTTTAATCTGTTAATCAGGCTTATTCCAGCGTCTATCTCGATTACAAAAATCGAATACCTTCGACTCGACAAAGGGAAACCCTCGAATAGAAAGTAATATTTTTTTTTGACATTTTGATCTTCTGTGACGCTTGTCTTAATATCCATATAATAGAATGAAGCACTTGTTATCTTACTCAATTGGTAAGTGAGCATACCTTATTAGTTGTTTCATCTTTCCACTAAAATTTCCATTACTTATGTCAGCGACTGGAATGACCAATCTGTTCCAAAGAAAGGATCAAATCAGAAAATCGGCTTTTATAACCCTTCCTTCTTCATTTATCCAGCTTCTATTCAGTCTATGCGGCGCCCGTTGCTTCCGCATATTCACATACATTTTGATGGTCGTCAGGCAACGGGGCGCTAAGACTCACCGTAACGCATTTACAAGTGGCCGAAAATGTTTCTGAAGCGTCCGAAGTCAGCTATGCTATGCGCAACATCTAGATCCTATCTTTCAGACGATTAATATTAATTATTTCCATAGAATGGAAACTATGGATTTGTCGGATCAGCTATAAAGTCAGTCCACCTAATTTGCCCGTGTTTGGAGGCCTTAAGCAATAATATAGTATTATGGAGATAATTCGCTAAAATTTCCACAGAAAACGGAGCTAACTTTAATGATACACATTTCGCCGACCGGACTCCCTACCAGTGCTACAGTAAGATCACCATTTAAATGGTCTCTTTAGGCCTTGTGGCACTTATCACTTTTATGCTTTTAATTGTATTAGATAGTTCCTATGTGAGTAAGTATTTGCATGTACGTAGGCAATAAACGAGGTTAAAAAAAGACATCAGATTTTATCTCCAATGGAAGTTAATATTTTGTGTGGTCGATATTTAATTTGTTCAAAGTATTGCTAAACATCACTTATCTCTTAGACAAAGAATTAAAGTTATATCATTCACTGTTCATATAGGAAAATAAGCAGTTTATGTGAGTTTACATATTTACGCTTATTTGTGCTACAATATTTTATTACTACCAAGCATGGCATATCGCAAGCATTGCATACGGTCTCTTGCGAAACTTGTAATCGGAGATACAATGAAAATAGCGGATCAAGCCCATACTTTGCCGTCAAGTTGAGTTGCTAGCCAGGCTTATCTTGTCTTAGTCAGGTTTCTCTATACATGTACGGTCCAGAACTTTGCGCTCTTCTTCAGACGCTCCTGCTTGCTTTATCTATAGCTGAGCCTCCAACAACCACGAAATGGAAAAAACAACATTTCGAAACCATCATTCTATATCCTATTCTAGATCGGCTTGGGCATTCTGTGCACAACGCCCATATGGAGTAAGGTAAGCGCATGGATTCTGAACTACAATCTGGCCGAGCCAACCATAATCCGATCCAACGAACGCCTGCCGGAGGCTTACCGGTCTTCACTAATTTTGCGTGGCCCATTCTAGGCTTCTCACGATTGATGTATTGTCGGTAATAAGGCCAAATTTTTCGACTATTGTATTGGTACCACGCACAATCTGAAGGTTGACTCTTCCATAGCTTTTCTTCTGTTATTACTCGTATTAGTGGACGTAAAATAGTTGTCTTTCCCGCTTTTCTTAACGAGAGATTAACACAGGTCACGCTACTACTATATAATGGATAAGCAGTAAAGCGCCCTGTCATTTACTTATATCCGTAGGGACTTATTTACATCTCTATGTTTCAAGGTTTACGTGCTTTATCACCGTTAGGCGTCTTATCAGACAGTTAGCTCCCAGCACGAAACGAAGTGTGTCTATGCTCGGGTTCAAACCTAGACCACAATGTTTCCCTAAGATTAACAGGCAAATACGTTTCCTACTAAGCTATCACGGCGAAGAAAGGAAGGGGCTTATTTGTCGATGCTGCCGCTACTTTTCCAGTGGCGGTGACGGGGACGGCGATGGCGGCGTCTGCTCAGGCCAACCCTCACCTTCTGCCTGAGTGCCCTTTCCCTTTTCGTTACAAAAGCCAGCTGCCGGTGAGCGGCTGGCGACAACTCGTAACACTGTCGCTGTTGACTTTGACATAAATGTGACAAGTGAAAAACAACGTAGATCACAGCCAGTGTTTGAAAAAACTGCCACGACTCGAATGAGACAGATAGATTGCCCTCTTCGAAGGTCGCAGTCAACGTGAGAAGAATGTCGGACTTCGAGAAGGTGCGTGAGCTTGACACCCGTATGTTTGACAATGTTATACTTTTGCGCTAGATTTTATATTCCATTACGTTATAGCAGCTGCTTGTAGTTCCTACGCGTGTACAGCAACCCTTAGGCAGAAGTGGCGGCCACGTCCAGAAAATGGTGAACAATGGCAACGGCAATTAATTGTATTGTGTACACATATTGGATGTTATTAGAGGATAGAGGCTGCAGAGCTAAAAGCAGTCATATTTAGGGAAAAAAAAGGTGTGCGCGAGTGTGTCACAATGTCCAGGACAAGTCCACATGCGACAATACGCATCGTGTATAGCGAAATAGTTGTGCTAGATACTAGTGGCTCTGGTATTGTGGCATGAGAACACTCGTAGGTCTAGCTTACAGCAGAATTTATTGTGCACGCCACGGCTGCAGGTAGGGCCCTTTGATGCACAGAAGCTACAATCCGACAGTGAAAAACCGGTCGATGTTTCATTTAATAAGCTGCCTTGGGCATTGGATCGCCCTACAAACCATTATAGGTTTATCTACTTTGCTGTTATGTGGGCTTCTATTACAACACAGTCTATGGCAATTACGTAACCCCGGCAGCTTGAAGTCTTTCTCTAAAAACAATGCTCTATTATAACTGAAAACTTCTGCAGCTACAACGTTAGCGACAACAGTGATCAACGCAGTTCTCAATTACGTTACAAGCATTCTAGTTGTAGTGTTAGACATCACGTGCTTATTAAACCTCCTGTTTTATTTATCTGGTATATCACTATTGTGTGCTACTTCGATTTTAAAATTTAACCACACGTTTTCTATAGCTTGTTTTTATTTTGAAATTCAAAAGCGCAGCTAAAGGGCTGCCAATGAGCCTGAACAAGAACGTTTTATTATGCATAGTTACCCGGATGGTCAATAATGCTAAGATACATTGCATTCTGAGACAAGTGCGAGCATCGTCTCATCTTCATCCAAATTTTTCAGCTGTTAGGGAGACGGAAACACATTCTGATAGACCGGTACAGACCAAGGTATGTATTTGTTCCGAGATGAAGACACCATCTAATGGAAGGCTAATGAATCTGCTCGAAGCAAAGTCGAGTGTCGACTTATTTCAATAGCACAGAGCCTGTCTCTGTTAAAATTAGCTTATTGGCGTTAGGTTTCCATCTATAGGAAAATTCGTGCATACAAAAGCAGTGCTGAAATTTATCAGAGGAAGCTCCAGACAACGATTAGGCCAGCGAGGGTCTGTCAGGAGCTCGCTATGCCTGCGTGATGAGAATTCATGTAGAATCGGGGAAGTACCGAGTGAAGATACGAAACATTTGTTCGATAGTAGTCGACCGCTCACCTACACTAAACCAGTCGTTGAGACTGTGTGAAATTTTTTATTAAAGATTTTGCATTCATAAAGTAAACAAACGACCGATGTGGATAGTACAAACATGAAATATCGCTAAACCGTTCTGTATAATAGAACAAATAGATAAAATGTCGAAATATTTTCAAACGTGTATTTGCTGATCGCATTCTATGCATGTTACAGTATAGAAGTATTCCTTTGACTTATAACAGCAAGTCATTCATGTTGGCCGTAACGCAAATACGTGACCGCGATTCGACTTCGGAAGGCCACTTATACGGTAAATCCATGGTAAAGTAACACAATTTAGACACTAAAAGAAACAAGGATATTTACACGGGATGTGTCGAAATCAGAAGAAAATTGAACGTAATTTGTACATTACGTTACTGTTATATCTGAATTTTCTTTCTCAACGGCAATCTGACGTGAGCAGTGTTGGCACAGAAGTGACTCGAAAGCCGCTAAAAGTATTTACATGATTATGCAACTAGCAAAAGCTAAGTGTCAAATCAGCTTTTGTGTAGTTATAATGAATACCCAGAAGGTAGCTTCTGCAAATTTTAGCGCAGTGCAAACTCGATTCTGTACGTGATAATTTCTGGATCGGTCTTTTTTTTTGCAAGGAACACGTGGCGTTCTGGAATAGCCTGTAACTTGCTTAACATCGCACTAACAAGCGGTGAGGGCGCACACCGCTTTTGATGTGATCGAATGATAGCAATATCACCTTCATTATAAGATTATTTGTACAGTGAAATACAATATTAGCCATATCTTCCAGTTACAAGGATCTTAACCCCCCGGTTCGATCTATACGAGATTGGTGCTTCGATCACTCGGAATACCAAAGTAAGGTTCCAATAAACCCCACGATTATATAGCTCTACAATAGCAATACTATCCGCTTAGTGCATGTGTTATTGTTATGTTAGTGAAGGTGATTATCATTTCGATTTAACGGAAAAATACGCCAGCGTTAGTTCTTCTTTTTACTTTACGTTAGCGACTTCTTTTTACTGAAAGATCTAAATCTTGATTTAAATTACAGCAAACATTCACGTATTCTATATCGTAAAAAATGATCGTGAAATTCGTGTTGTTTCCACCGAAGACCCCTTAAACGTGCAATGACAATGGTGTGATCCTTGTCGATTGCATGTAAAACGAATTTTCGTATAAATAAGGAGTGTTAAGAACGGGTTTTTATTGCATATTTCGCTGCCACTGGTACGCTACGGATGTGACACGTTGATGTATCCTATGGTCCATACTGATTTAGCTAAATCTTAATCGCGTGTGATTTTTATTGCAGTGTGCAGCTGAAGTTAAGGATCTGAAGACTCGTCCCTCCGATGACGAGCTTCTGCAATTGTATGGATTGTACAAGCAAGCAACGGTGGGCGACGTTACGAGCGAGGCACCGGGCATTCTTGATCTCAAGGTATGGACTAAGATACACTGCTCGCGAAAACTGATATCGGCGAAAGTGGTTGAAACAGATTTCTTAAATATGTGGCAGTATGCGCAACTGATGTCATGCTGACAACATAATCAGCTTCTTGCGCTCTCCGAACCAGGGTTAAGGATATAAGCCGGTACAAATTGAGTAGGTAGCATATATAAATCTGCTGATAAGTTTTTACTGCACTAGCTAGCGTACTAGACATCCGTAAGTTCACGGTTTAGGACTGCTCCAGTATCTCGAGCATTAGGATTATGCCAGGGTACATCTAAATGTTTGGTAGTTTATTGGTAGAAATACATGTAGATAATTCGACCGGCATTCTAGTCAGTCAGCGTATTCCAGATAGCAAGAGCTCTTTGTTCGGTTAAATATTCAGGATCTATACGAGTCTGTTGCTGGTTTTGTGTGATAGTTAGTGGTGGTACTTCCTCTAGTTGCCCTCTCCATATTTTATGATGCTTTTAACCTAGTCCAAGTTTCGAAGCTTACCACGCCCAGATCAACGAGAGAATAAAGCGAAATGTTGCCTGATCTACGGAAGTTCACACCCTAATAGAACGAATCTGCGATGTTTCCCGATGCTGAAGTTTTTTTCTCCTTAATATTTCTCGGGAATATACTATCATTCAAACGCCTTGGTTTGAGAAAAATAAGTGTCTAGAGCGGCGGGCTGGATACTAAAATTCTTGTGTAGAACAGCTATCTGCACGAATTTCTTCCCAGCTGATTCACTCAAGGGAATTCTCTACGTAAAAACCGATCTAGCAGTACAACTTTTGTGGGTAAATGGCTTCACTTAAACTTACAACGTTAACAATATATCCATTCACGCGTTTACAGGGAAAGGCGAAGTACAACTCTTGGACGAGTCGCAAGGGCCTTTCTCAAGATGCCGCTAAAAAGGAGTATTGCGAGCTTGTCAAACAATTAAAGGACAAATACAACTAAGAATGCCCTATATATTATATGTTTTATATAATATGTAGTAAGTATCGACCATAGTACAGGATGGTCGTTGCTGTGAAGTCTGCATAGCGCAGGCAATATGGTGATGCTGAAATATCAAGATGATTAAATTCCGTCGCTCATTTGCTTTTGCTGGTAATGGTCAAATGTGGAAAAAATGATCGACAATAAGAGTATCCCATAGCAAGGCTATACTGGAGTCTTGTTGATTAACTAATATGTGGTTTAATTTGTCATGTGTTCATTAAGACCTTAGACTTACCTGGGTCTCTGGCAGACTTTAGTTGGACGAATAATCGGCTTCCTTTCTGATGTTCGCTCGGTGAAGTCTGCTCATACCAAAAAAACTAAAATACTAAATAAATTATGTGAAATCGTTTACTAAGGCCTCGGTTTATTGGTGTCGTTCTTTGAGGAGGAAAATACTTTTACAGAATCCATTGCTACAGGCAACGGATTCTGTAAAAGTACAGGTACCAAGCTGTGATTGTGGGCTCTCAGGTGGCATAATAATAATAATGATGTTTGTCGATACGATTTTTTTTTATGATGTGTTGTTGATTTCAACACGTAGCATTAACAAAAACGCGCTAAACGAAACGCTTAAGAGCTTAGTTTCGACTAACCCTGTTTATTATGCTTAAGATAGTCGTAGTCGCTCGGTTTTTTTAATGCCTATTGGTAATTTGCATCGTCTGCACTAGCATTACTGCTACCTGGGCTCCTTTAGTATCCAGTCTGACCTGCTGAAGAAATACGATCATTGAAGATTTCGCCGAGAAGTACAAAACCAGCCGTAACATTACAGAAGTGCGGTGAATAAAACAGCGTCAAATGATCTTGTGCGAAAGCACGGTACAGACCGTGAATCCGGGCTGTGGGCCTATAGCGGCATCCTTGCTATTATAGTCCATTATCATTGTGCGATACTGTCGACTACCAACGATTCAGAGAATTGCAATAATACCAACGTAAACATCTGGCACAGACCGACCCGCAGGCAGGCAGATATGTAATCAACAGGGTCTTCATCCGATAAGTCTGCACCTGATGATAATGCACTATTATCCACCTGCTGCAGGTGATGTCCTAAGATTTGATCCTCTATATTTTCGAAAGCAAATGCTTGGCCGGTACTGTTTCATCTCTATAGGCCGACAAATCAACGTCGACTGTTTGAAGGGACAGCGCCGATCAACTGGCCAGCTGTTAATGGAGCTTGCCAAGCGTCCGTTGGTGGAAAACCGAAGCTCAGCGCAATTTTATGATATCCTGACGATTTTATATCGTTGGGAAGTTGTTCGTTGAAATAGATGGTCTCGCTTTATGCTTCAAGAATAATACATTTACTCAAAATGATGTGTTTAACTTGCTGTCCGTTTAACTGCCTACACGTGATACCGCTGCGTTTGAATGTTGCAAACGTTGGCTAACATTGCGAGCTCAAGTCATGACAGACCAGTAAACAAATCGAGGTCGAATTTTTTTCACCCGGGCAACTACGGCAAATGATGTCTATTGTCTACTAAAAATAACATTTGTGTAGCTTTTTCTAATTTTTGTAATTGGGATCCGATCAAACTGTGCATTGAAGCAGACAGAAGGCATGGTTATCCAGTAAGAAATAACATTTCAATACTGCCTTTAAAGTGTAAAGAAAGTGTTCACCGATGCTCTTGACTCTCATCATCGATGTAAAGATGTCCTGCAACTACTTTAAAATGACATGAGTTCTAAGTTCTAAATCGCTATTTTCACTAAACTAGCAAACATTTAATAATGCTTCGTCGTAGGCTCTGTCTCTCTCTCTCTCTCTCTCTCTCTTTTTATATATATATATAAAGCAAGTCTAATGAGACCGAATCTTAAAACCCCATTAGATTTAGAATAAGTGGTGCCGGTGGCCGGCCAGGCATTCACTGTCCTGCCTGTCGCTTAGTGACTTAAAAAACCTACGGCGCCAACTAACTAAGGATCACGCCACCGGAGAAGGGAATTCAGTAATTCAACAGCGTCCGCGTCATTATCATCATCATCAACGTCACCGCCGCTGCCACTGACAGCGTATTAGATTCGAAGATAGTTGGTACCGAGAGCTTTTGCTGTAGCTACCATCATTTCGACTGCTGGCTAGTTATGCTGACGACTATCATTTCCGTGGCCGTTGTTGCTGCTGGTATTCAATGGGATCCCAAAAGTTGATGATTTCTCTAGAATTTTTCGTGTTGCTAGCGGCCAACTACCGTTGATTCATTCGTTGCAGGGGCCGCCGCTACTACTATGTCGCCACAGGCAGTTGTAACGATCGAAGCAGCGTCTCTTAACGCCATTGCTCCAAAATACCGATGCTGTCGTTGGAGCTCCGACGGAGCACCATGCCATTACCACCATCGCTGTGCTTCTACCTCTTTGAGCATTTTGTCGGCAGAGTCAGGGATGCCAAAGTAGCATCGTTCCTTTACCGCTATTTGTCTCTCTTTTCTTTATCTCTGTTGGTCCGTTTTCGCTCGTTGCTCGTCGAAGCCGCAACACCCGTTTTTTCTGTTTGGTCTTTATCCATCTCTCTCCCTCTCGCCTCTCTCTGTCGCTCGCGAAATCCCGTTTCTGGCGATGATCGTCGGCTGAACAGGGAGACGCCGACGAGTTGAACGTGCTCGGTCGTTCCACCCGCAGTTCTGCACGGCTTGACACGGTTCTTGGTTCTGTGTTCGAGGGGCTCATGTCGATTGCCATGGCGGCGAACAGTTCCGAGCCATTCGTGCTGCTATCGGCGACATGACAGCGGCAGCGGCTCGCTGTTCACCTGTTGCCTGTTGGTCTGGAACGCGAGCGGTCACACTATCATTCCGACGCTCGCCACCGCAGTGACTTTTAGTTTTGAGTGGCCAGGGGTCACGGCATCAGTGAAGGTATGCGGTAGAGGGGTGGATGGGCCGAAAAGGACCAATAGTGCTAACAGAAAAAATGAGAGAAAAGAGAAGCTGGGTCGTAGAAAAATCGGGTGGGAGAATGTGAGACTATATTAGAGAAAAATAGATACGAGAAGCAAAGATGAAAAAAACTTCAGAGCGGTAGCAGCAACATATGTTGATACAAGAGAAGCCAGAGATGAGCGTGTACGATAGACGTTGTCCCTGCTGCTACTACTACGACAGACCAATTTATGCGCCAAAGGCATTTTCTGTTCGGAGACTTAGGAGTAGGAGCGCAGCGAGGTACCGACAGGCGTATAAGTAGGTCTCAGTCCGGAGCAACAGAGATCGGAACTATACAGTATAGAGGATATGAAGGCAGTTCATGTTAAGGGTCATTTGCCGACGCCGGGCTTCGCTGCAAACTCCCAAACGCCAGAAGCAGGTCCAAGCAGTGTGCACGCAGTCTCTTTTGTCAGATTTGCTTGAGCGGTGGCAGGGGAACCTTTTGTTGGTCGGCTAGATCGTCGCCTTTTGTCCGCTCTGTGTGCATCGCTCCGCAATCTGCTTTTAATGTTGCTGCTGTTACAAATTGTAATGATTCTACTGCTGCTCCCCTTGTTTTGTGCACACTGTCGTCTGCCGCCAGTGACTGATTTATAGGTTAAACGCCTTGGGTCTGGTTAGCTTCCACCGAAGACCCCTTCTGGATACTCCAGCGGTGTGATTGGGCTTCTGCTTGCTGAGCAGACACTATTCGTTTTCCTATCGCTTCAGTCGTACGACCGCGAACCCCGCCAGTAGACCCACAATCAGGAAGCCAACCCGTGCAACAATAGGAACTACAGTATCAGGAGGATAATATCTCCAGTATCATCCTGTTCTAGGTTACCGGATTCTACTTTTGCTGGTACTTTGCTGCTTATGCTACAACAGCGGTTTTTGACTCGTGTCTCAAACCGTTCTCAAAATTAAGCATACTACTTCCTCGCTTATCCTGACCGAGATACGCCTCACCGAACCCAGTGCACAAATGCTCGAGATGCTAAGGCGATTAGCCAAGGAAAAATACAACTTTTCTAACTTGATGCTAACTAACCATTATGACTAACTTCATTCGTGTACGCAGCAGTGTCTCTGAGCTGCGTCGAGTTTGATCGGCGCATTTGTCTATCCTGTTGGTCCGACGATTGTATTTGGTGTTCGCCGCAAATGGCAACACCCGAAGAGGGCATTTTACTAAAGCTCGATTCGCTCGTCTTCGTCAATTGCGTTTAGGAAAGAGGTGGTAAAGCTCAACCTACGAGCATTGGTGAGGTATGAAGTTCTATTTTCAAGGGTTAAAAGGAGATGTTTTGTTTCGAGTCGTTACGTTAATGACGATTCTCAAGGGAAGGGATATATGGTGTCAGGGGGAAGCGGTTGAATCACACATAGATGTGAGCTGAACGTGATACTCGTCTTCATTAGCATTTTTCGACCAAGATATATGCTAAGCAACATTCGCTAGGGTAACGCGAAATGCACGTTGGCAAATGTCTGTTTAAACAATAACAAACATTCAGCTTCGCCACGCACTACTGAAGTAAAGTGATCGCCGTAAATCAATAAGTGTTACAAGACTGTGTTTTTCGACTTATATCGAACATATTCCTTACATCCGTAAATCTTGTTAAACACATTTGCAGTTCAACTCACTGAAGGATATTTGACCTTGAAAGCGCTTGTTCAGAACAGGCAGCACACCGCCATGTATCTGCCGCCGCGATTTCGTTCACGGTATATATATATATTATGTAGCACCACTGGTATTCGTACACATTCTTAAATCATGCAAGACCTAGCTCAGATAAATTATTTGGCAGAATGAATTGGTAGTTCAGTCCGACAGTCCGTTCGCTGAAAGAAGCACCCTGAGCAGAAAATTCTGCTCAGCTTTTTTCTTAAACTTACCATCTGCACTAACGGTTGGTTTTTAACCAACTTGCCAAACCCATGGAACCTGAGTTCGCTAAATGTGAAGATTACGCAACCGTGTTATAATAGTCATCGGTTCGTTTTGGGGAACCAGCAGTTTTAGGGCTGCGATAACGTACCCGTGTTTCACTTGGTGGATTGGGTTCGATATCGCGTGGGGGTAGAAATACGATCCTTCGGTTGGGAGTAGCCATTTCCGCAGGGTACGGATCAAGGGGTTTTCTGAAATGAGGTAGGTTGATAGCAAGATTTCCTTCCATTGTTTAAATGGAATAATTTCGAAAAAGAAGTGGTGATTTTTTGAGTTGCGGAACAAGTGCGCAATATAAGGGTAATATGTTCTTATGCAACAGGATATAACTGAAGCAGACATACTGGAAAAATGACTCTAGCCACATGGTCGCCACAACCTGTATTTTTTTATGTATCTTAGACGAGCTGTAAGATTAGGTAGGTGTATCGGTTACTTGCTTGTTTGGGGAATCGCTTCGAAGATCCTTGAGCGAAGCACACGAAAGGTCTTTCGCATTCATCAGTCAGGATTTTTACGAAATTACGAAGGATTAAAATTGCATGGATTTGTTTTGCACAACCACCATCAGCCTTTTCTGGCATCGAACTGGCCGTTATTATTCAGTCGACCTTTGTCATTTTGTGAAACGAAAATGAACATCTTGTCACTTCAATACTGCAACAACGAAACTGAGACGGTACCCGTCGAAAGTATTTTTGCCCAGAATGACGTTATTGGCCTCTTCTTCACAGTGCCAACATCGGTTGAATGTGTAGCCTTCATCGACTCATTGATGGATGTCTATCAACGACTTCGGGCAGACGGCAAAAAGTTCGAAGTGTTGCAGGTCGATTGTTCACAGGTGGACGCCATCCGCAAGCGGACTACCAGGATAGAAACGACAACAACACCTCCCCCATGGAGAAGTTTACAGGAAATCTGCGTTGCCGGCTTAGCTAGCGCTTACCGTGTTCGTCGAGTACCCGCTCTTGTAATTCTTCGCTCGAACGGAGAGGTGATCTCGTTTGATTACTGTTCGTCATTGGACAAGCTCAGGTGCAGTTCTTGGGAAAGGTGGATGGGCGAACACGTCATTGACCGCATGCCTCCCTTCATAATGACCATTGAAAATGTCAATTAACACGCTAATTCGATGTGGAAATGAAAACAGAACGTAGATGGGGTCGACGCCACGTTTGTGCCGGTGCTTGTAGGACAGGAATTTGCTTGGTCGGACAATAAAATATGAACGAACTCTACTCCTCGATGTAGTAAGAAGCCCACGTAAACTGTTACAAATTTATGGTAGAATACATGTTCATGTGTGAAATTTATTCATTTCTATTTGGATCACATCGGTAATCACTAGGCAACTATAGCAGCGTACGGTATCGTTAGGTTCATCCTTAACTAGGAGTCGATTTATGCTAATTTGACAAATAGGCGCATTCACCAGGCGGATTTGTGGGTGCGAACTAGCTAGACAGCAGTAAAATGTCGCTTATGTAAGTCGCTGATTGGATCAATACTATGATCAAAGCATAACCTGGTCGAAGCAACGAACAAACACCTTATTCGACCAAGTCGTCTAGCCAGAATCACATTTAACAATACTTTATGTACAAGTAGAGAACACTGATATTTTTACCTAAATTGATGTCGCATAAATCTGTGATTGCTTGCTTTAGGTGTAAACGTCGATTGAGGCAGTCTTGACTGCTTGTCGATAGCTGTCCTGACTCTTGAGTGCCTGTGAGGTGAGTGCCTTATTGTCCTGCTGGTTACTGTTCTTTTCGCAAAGATTCACTATTGAAGCAGGGTCCATCAAATTAGTGTTTGAAATGCTCTTATCTAAAATTATAAATAGAGAACATTCGGAGATCAGTTAGAGAACGCCGATGAGATGCCGCCAGACTATTTGCCGTTGTCATTCGAACGCGCCTAAACGTCTTTATACCTAAACCTCTTAGCGAAACACAGCTTTGCCGTTGTCATTCGAACGCGCCTAAACGTCTTTATACCTAAACCTCTTAGCGAAACACAGCTTTGCCATTCGAGAGCAACAGTTGAGCTGGCGATAGCAGAGGTGTCTCTTAATATGGTTTTACCGTTCGCAGGTTCCACACGGTATGTGTGTCAATCGTCGCATATTTGCCTCCAGTTCGACAACCACAGTCTACCGCTACCGATACACATCACGCATTTCGCGATAACGATAAGAACGGAAGCAGTGAATTTGATGAAATTCACTGCTTCCGTTCTTAAGTTAGTCAGACTGGACAGATGTTTACGACTGGAGCCTCTTATATCCATTTTTATTTAATTGGTCACTCAGTGTTTCCAGTACTGTTTTCATTGACTAGTGATCAAACGATATATATCTATATATCAAGTGTTGGAAGTGTTTTTTTTTTTGTTTATCCTTTTTGTCATTGTTTTACTCACATCACAAAATTGTGTGAAAAATACTGTGGCTTTTGGCGCTGAAAGCTAGTGTTGTCACTTAAAAATAATGAAAGCGGCTTCTCAGCGAATCGGAAAGCTACGAACGTGGTCCGCGATGACTGCACCGCGTATAGTAATAATTGTGCAGGCGACAACAATAAGCTGGTTTGATAATTATCATCGCTGAAAAGCATTTCTAGATGATCCTTGTCGAACTCGAAACGAGACGTTCACTGGAAAGCGTACTCGTGGCAAAAGTTTCGATTTTCCTTTTTGGTAGGAACCTTCTGAGTAATATTCTAATTTATGGAGTTCTTGTAGTAAACGCCAAACCTATTGCGGTTTCTCAGGGAGCTTAGGTTTTAACAAATAGCAAATAACAAACTGTGTAAATTCACTTTTTGTACCCGAAGTACCTATTCTGGTGTTCTAAATGACGCTAAAATTGTGCGATACGGATCAAATCAGAGTAGCCTTGAAGCAAAGAGGTCTTCAGCACGGTCTGACGATCAGCAAAAAAAAGTAATTGAGAAAGGAAGCCAATAACAAAACAAGATTTGTGGCTATCCTGAACGCGGCCTTATTTCGTTAACCAGACAGGACCAAAAGCTTGAAATCAACAATATAATTAGATTCAAAATTCTTTATTTAGATTTATTGGAAATTGTTAATCGGACGTACTGAAATGCATATCGATGCAATATTAGAAATCGTTAAGTTGCAATCAATTGAAGTTGTTTTCAGTATTACGTCTTCGCGTGAGAGCCCCTGAAAGCGATCTTATGCGCACTTTTTTTTTTAGTGGATTCCTCAAATGTAGTTGATTTCTACCAGAAAACACATTTACGTCATGTAACTCAATGCACTTATCTAATGCGAACCGTTTTAAATTGTCATGTTTGATCTCCCTTGCCGCCACAAAGTCTATACCCACAAGGCTAGTGTTGAAGCGGAATCACCTTGTCGTTTGGAAGCAGCCGTGCGGTAGGCGGCGCTGAAGTGCTACTTGGGTCTGTCAATATGGTATGAAGGTTTAAATTTAGGCTATATTAAGGATATGCATAGCTAAGATTGAATTGGAGACATCCTTTTATAGATATAAATTATATGTTTGCTTGTCTAATCTGGTTCTGAAATTATATACAAGCGAGCGTTATTATGAATCAGAAACTTCAAACATGTTAATTCTCTTTTGGTTTACACTGACTAGCGTACTGGATTACGGGTATACTTCAACTTAAAATTAAGTTACAAAAAGTTCCTACCCACTAAAATGAATCGTTAGTTTTGATATGTATAAAATAAAAATGATAATAATTTTTGTTGAATTTTAACAGTTTATGAAAAATATATATCTAGAATACCGTCATGGATTTTCGGCTTTAATTATGCAATATATTGAATGGACAGAAAAGTACAAAAAAAAACACTTCTTACCTTTGTCCTATATTTTTTCTTCTTACCGCTACCTCTTATATTAATTTGAGTAACAACATCTTTATCTATTCAAAGGGTGTGTAGGGCACAAGAGAGAGTGGTGCAACTTCGCGGAAGCGTGAGCAAAGTTTGATATCGTCATTACCGGGTGGTAATATGTCGTGCAATATATTTTTCTTTGTACATGTTTGTGTGTATTCGGAAGGCGACCTTTATTCAGAGCAATAAAGGCGGAAACAGTCGAAAAAATGTATTTCAGAGAATTCCAAACAAAATAAAACACATTTTTTCTGGGTTGTATTCTTCTTTTGTTTTCATGAGAACGTAAGTATCTGAGTAGCATCACAGAACTGAGACTGAAGGTAAACTATACGGAAGGCTACTTATGAAACCGCCAAAGCTTGGACGGAGTAGCTTAATTATCTGATCACTTATAGTTTTCAATGGAGTATATTATCCGGTGGCGTCATTTGGGTGGATAAGGAGAAGACATATTCAGGCTGCTAAGATTTCATATGGGACGAAAACAAATTCCGATCATCATTTCATCTCCTTAATGATGCAAAATGAAACGATTAAAATATGGTGCTTAGCAAAAACGCGCATTCTCCAAAATACAGGGTGTCGACTACCGTTTCCATATGTCAGGCTTGTACGACACGCGTCGCAGAGGAGCCATTATAACGTCTCAAAGAAACACGAAGATCACTTACACATTCAGGTAACAGATATGTCTGATTATAAATAAGGACAGCTATGACAGCTTCACCCTTAGACAGGGTATCAATAGGATATTGATGATGATCGTTTCAACGCATAGGTATCTGATCTTTAAGGGTTGATTTGACATTTTTCCTAATGTAAGCAGCTTCCAACAGTCATAACGTTACGTTAAACGCACAAATAGCTATAACAACCATGTAAATAACTTGTCTCTATCGGGTTAACTTAATCGATTAGTTCCTGCCACTCTATCAGTGACTCTATCTGCAAAGTCGTTACTGCATAATCTTAGCAAAGCCTTTGATAATTTAAAAATCGGTCAACCAAGACTGCGCAACAGCAGCTAAAAAAAGCGCTAGCTAACGGCTAGATCTCGACTGAAGCTAGTTTTTAGTTTTTCTGATTTTATGGCCGTTCCTAATAGCGTTACCATCGTCAACGTCCGAACCAATTATCTGTAGCCGACAGCTGCAATAGTTCTATCACGGTCTTCTTGCTCCATACACATAAGCTCGATTTTTAAATACGAAACATTGTTGGAGCATATTTCGTACTTTTTTTTGAATACTGGTTATTTCCTTCTCAGATGCTTTCTCTTTTAACCGTTTGTTCGGTTGTCTAGTGACCACGACTTCTTGTAGATATGGAATAACAGTTATTATGATGCTACGCTTATTCGTTTACGTACATATGTATGTACGCGCGTTCTACTGACTGTTGCTTTTTTTTTTGTTATTTCAACGCGTTTAGCTCTCCTATACGTAAACAAATCCTCGGAACATCTCTTAGGTATAACATGAAAAATTGGCTGCCACTAAAATCTAGCCGGGTTACTGGGCTTAGCTGGGGTTTATCTAACAGAGCTATGAAACAGCATTTTTATCATCTGCCAATGCTGAACCTTAAGCCAGCAATGACCGCACGTCCGTGGTTTACGTGGCAATGCGCTCTAAGAGATCCGAATCAGGCAGACCACGTCGTTGCAACGACTGCTGTCGTAGCTTGGAAATTACGAACGTAGCGGCTATAAATACTGTTGTTACTGCTATTGTTTCACCAACGGCGTTGATCTTATTATACCGAAGACCCCATCACGACAACACGGAGTTGAGCTGTCGGTCTTAGATCCAGAGGTTAGCGGTGGGGTGACACAGAACTTCTTGAGATAGCTGGCCGAGTAACGTTATCTTAGGGAAAATATTGTCTACTTGTCCACACTCATAGATTATAGCTTTTCAGTTTGAGAGTTCGCGTCGTGACAACTGTAACTCAATCAAATCGATAGCCGACATTATCATAATAGCCTGGCATACTCTTTCCAGAAGATGAACTTTATTGTACAAAACAATAAACAGCTATCGATGTTCACGTGTAATCGAACGAAATGTGGCTGCTGTGTGATACCGCATAGAAAAGGAGAGTCCTATGGCCCAGTCTTTACGAATGGGTAATTTCTGTAAATAGACCTATTCGCCACTGTGTGAGAAGTAGTGTTTAGCTTCTCTCGATTGCCGTTCATAAGCTTACTTAAACTAAGCTAAGTTGATACAATAGAACGCAAAAAGAAAAAATTACACACGTTCAATTTAGCATTAGCGTTGAGCGAACCATTGTGCTGACCAAGGCATTTTATTGTTCATATGGTACACTGCAACCCTCTAAATGGTCGTGTAGTAACTTGGGACACTTAAGAAAAATATTCAGATATTCGTTGCGGCTTGTCTGGTCAGAACGTAGCTTACAAGAGAAGATGAATAAAAGTTACTGTAAACGGCGACCGATTTACTTATTTTTGGTTAAAGTTCAAGCCGGTATCTCCCTTGTTTGCAACTGGGGGCAGCTTTGGCCATTCGAAGCTTATTCCAAGTACAATATTATATAATTAGACATTTTAAAGGATGTTTCTATAATTATTCAACTACTTTACGGCTAAAGCTATGTACAATCGGCAGGACCAAGCTATAAGTTCAACATAAGGTCTAATGGCGGCCGCATCTTACATGCGTTTCGTGTCCCATGTCCGCTGCTACTAGCATTAAGCCTTGCTCAAAACAATTACGACTGGACCTATTTAGCAGTACTGTGTTAATGAAAATACTACATCAATTTAACCCGCTGAGATCTCCAGTGCAGTCCGTTCACTAAAAATGAAAGTTCAAACATTTATCGGATCGTATGTTGCTATAAGGTTATACAGGGTCGGTAGAATTCAACGCTCCATCTCTCATACGTACTTAATATATAATAATAATAATAATAAATACTTAATACTAATTCCCTTTTTAGCTAGTAAGCACTGCTGATCTGCATATCTAAATATGCTCTCTGGCAACATGCATTGAAATTATTATACAAATAACTGATGGATTGGAAACTGATGGTTGTCTGTCAAATTCTTTGCTATTTATTTAGACATTTTCAACGAGAAAATTGTCTGTGGATCATATAGAAACGCAGTTATGGATGCTGCGATTAATATGTGACCTCTGTTCATATTTGCTATGTACTACAACTTGAATGTCTGAAGTTACGGCCACTGAACACGTGCATTTATCCCATACAGACCTATATGCAATAGCAGCAACGCGAGGTATGCTTAAGAAGGGAATAATGCAAGCAAAAAAAAAGACATCGTTTTCACTGAGGTTGGCCGAAACTTCGACCTTGTCGTTCAGTTGTATTTGACGTCTTACGAGTCGTGTTTACGTGACGTGAAGCTGTTGTTCCTGTTACTCCCATAACAAATGGAGCTATGGCTGCAGCAGTAGAAGTAGCAAAAATGCCGTAAGTAAATTTCAGCTCTTCCGATAGCAGTTCCTGTTGGGAGGAGCGCTATTAGCTTGCTGACGAGAACCACAACATATACAGTGGCCCATCATTTGCAATGGTAATAACACTTTTAAGCGGACGGAACGATGTCGATATTTACTTTCCGTCAACTGCGCTTTGCTAACGTCGCGGGTCGCTCCCGATGCCTCTGTCGCTGCATTTTTAGCACCGCAATAGAGCCATTCCGTAGGAGAAATGAGTCGAGAGATAAAACTTGAGGCGCTCCGCCATCGTTGCTTTTGTTGCTACTGTTGATTTCCTTTAAGTTTGGTTAACCGCCTACGTGCGTTCCAACGGCGAGCGTTAAATCTCGAACGGCAAACTCACGATAACGTTGCCAAGACTCATTACTATTGTTAGCTATTGTCGTACGCTTATTCGCTCATCAGTACATCTGCCTACGAGGCTAAACGATATTCGTTCAATGGGGAAAAAGCTAAATATCTAATGGAGTCGCTATTATGATTAGCACGTCGCGCCGTTGCGACTGCAAAGTTTTCTTTACCTCAATAGATGCGATCACGAGCAGCATCAGCTTGAGTAACATCAAGATGGGAAAATTTTGTGTGAGCGGGTGCATGCGAACAGATGTCGGGAGATCAATCACGACATCAGTCGCTGCTTCATATATCGTAAACATCTGCGTGTTTAAATTTGACTTTTCATCAGCATTAAGCGACACATTGAATGGATGAACGGACGGCGCGCAGCAGAAAGGTCCGGACTTGAACTCCGAGCCCGACATGGTGGTGTGTCTGGTCAAACGGCAGCGGAGAAGGTAACTGACGTTGAGTGAAACTTCGGTCGGCGACCACCACAGTGGCAGTTAAGTTTGGGCTTCGTTAACATTCGGCGTCCATCGTTAGCAGCTGCCGCTAATCGCTTCCGTGGAATCGTCGTGCTGTTCTGTGCGTTTACGACGCGATGTGCATTTGTTTTGCGGGAGGAAGAGCAGCAACGGGACTTCGGGAGCGATCGAGGCATCATTGTGACGGACGACCTGCGTAGCAGTGAAAGAAGAATATTTGGCAGTTCGTTGTTGGCTGATAGCCAGTGCGCGTAAAGATAGTCAATAGAAGTGGTAAAGGCAGAAAGTCAGGCCTGGTGAGGCTGCTTCGGAGCGCCGCACGGTAGCCCCGGCGCTCGGGGTTTCCGGGCGAGCGGATGATGCTGACGATGAGCGACGAGCAACTATAAAGCCGAGCAACTTTTCAGCCCTGGGCATAATAAATACTTCTGCCCCGGAGTCGCATCCGCGGTGCGACGCCGACAAGTATCGTCTGAATAGTGTTTTTGTCTTATTGTTGCCATAATCATCATTAATTCGCGATATTATCACTAAATTGAAAAGCAAGAGGAGAAAAGACAAGATGTCAATCATGTACATGCTCTAATATTAGAAGAATAGTGGTGACGATAATCTATAACTAGTCTGTGAGCTCTACAGATTTCTAATGAGATGAGTAAGTGAAAAACGTTTACGATCTTGGTTGATCTGGAATTTCATTACCAGCTCCTCAGTGAGCACTTGCTATTTGTCTGATCATACTGTGCGGAAGCCGTGTGTTCGTGTCCAACCATCCAGTAAAGAAATCCGTGTTACTCAAATACTTCCTGATCATCCGCTGTAAGAATGAGCCTTCTTATCAAGAACGGTGTATGTTTCCTTAGTTTAATGCTGCTGGTCGGCGTCGACGGTTTGGCTGGTTCTCTTGCCGCGCTCGGCTCCATTGGAGGGCCGATGGGACAGGTTGGCGTTGCGCTCCAACAGCTGCACCATCTTCAACAGCTGCAACGCTTTTCGAAAGCGGTCAACGTATCGGACTTGGCAGCTGCCGGCGGACGCGTGGCACGTGAGTTATCAAAATCGCTGAACACAGACGTGGTGGCTGTCGGAAAGGCATTGGCAGGTGCTGGAGCTGCACTTGGCTCATTCGTGTTCCTTGGCGGCATGGGCGCTTTGCTCGCAACCGGCCTCGGGGCGTTCAAATACGCTCCAGGCATCTATGATCAGGCCGGCATCGTGAAGACAGACAAAGGGGTGTTCTACAACGCGGCGCGAACAGCGAAAAGTTTCCAGGATGTAAAGCGTCCATCAAATCCTGAGTTGGTACCGGCGCTCAATGATTTACTGACTAAAGTTTACGAAGCAGTCGAAAATGGTGTGCCACAACTTCTTGAACGACTGCGCTAAAATTGTCATGATCGTCTCAATCGTATGATGCGCTTGTACGTTAGTTGCCCCAGAACACAAACAGTTGTAGAACTCTTTCAGGTACAATAGGTTTGCGACTTATGAGATCATATGAGATAGAAACTTTCGTTTTCATTCATCGCATATTAGGAATCACGTGTGAGATGTGCGCTCAAAACCATGCGTGGACACGATTGCTGCTTAGGGAACAATCATACGATGTGATGTATGCGGAAACTTTTACTTTAGTCCCATCTATAAGAAACAAAGCATCAACATCAGAATTGTTACCCGAAAGAAGAAGCCAGTTTTTTTTTTAGCTAATGAGCTCCTTCTTATTATTATTATAATAAATGAAAAAAACACTTTGAACAAAACACATTTTTGTTCATCGAGGTCCCTAATTACAACTATGTACACAATTCTAATCAGAAAAATACCAGATTGCTTTCATCTAATGATCTTGGATGTATTCGTCAAGATATAAAGCACATTCCATCCGTGCCACTGGAGCTCAGAGGAGTCCGAAACGTTTAGAAACAAACAGCCAGGGCACATGCAGGCGGTGTGCTCTATCGAAAAAGAAGTAAACCTCAAAAATTCTTATTTAAATAATGTCCGATTAAAAATTATATTTTTCCTATAATGAAAATGTGATCCTCATTACCGTTTAGTTAGTTTGACACATATTGAATTTTTAGGTATCTCAGTTAGTCTGTGTCGCGATGGAAAGACGAGTCTTTAGAATTCGTGTTATTTGAAAAATCGAATGAAGATGTATACGCATATAAATGCATGCGCAAGAATATGATTCTATCCTATAAGAAGATATCGTTAAATACCTAATTTGCTCAGAGGACACTGCTGATCGCTCGTGCGTGAACAATAGGCATAAAATTAAATTTTTTAGCAAAGTGTATCAATGTATATGAGAGAAACTAATTAGAACTTCGTCGATTTACTCGCGTCCCCGACAAGGATTATAATTGTATCGTTTTGTTGATTCCATTATTGTTATATGTCTTACAGATTTGAACTAATCCGTAGTAGCAAAAAAACAAGCTTTGAAACTAAGCTTTACAGATATTATTCAGAACATACATGGGACAGACAACGGAGCAAAGGTACCCTTTGGTAACCTGCACTCTTTTATTGGCTATCGTTTGTACTCGAGCTAGCTATTAAAAAAAGCTCTGCCATTAAAAATAATAATTCACTAAAAACTCTATTTTTTTTAGCCTAGGAATATTGGTGCGTCAAACTATAGATTAGCAACCTGATTTTAATCGCAAAAAAGTTTCGGCATTTTCAAATTCTAGAATTATACGCTCAGTCATCTCGATTGACTGAACTATTAAGCCGTAACTGTATCCATCTACAGAAATGATCATACGATACCATAGATGGCGTTAGAGTGCAAGCTTAGAGCGCCATACTATCCATATATGTTATGCAACTTCTAAGAAGCATGCTTCACAAGTTCTTACCCGCTGTAGTAGCCGCTAGAACAGCTTCGAAATTGTCTTTGTTACGATGGCATGTGCTGCTCATAGCCAGCTAAGATTGTTCGCAGATCCATTGACAGGCCGAACGGTCGAGTTGCTTCCCATCAATAAAAGCCTTTCCGCGACAGCTAATCGTATTGGTTAAATGATAGGATCCTATGATGGAACGCTATCAGAAACTCTCTTGCTTCTCTTGAGGCGCTCTTGCCGATAGACTCTCTAAGTGGTCAAGAGCTTGGTCTGCCGTTCCATTTGGGCTGAGAGCATGACGCATAAAAAGAAGAGGATCTATATTCCAGAAAACAGACATTTAGCTGTAACGATGCGTTTAGGATTGCAAGTAATCTGAGTTGCAAGAGATATTTTCCCAAACAAGCTCCGCGTATAGGGTTCCCGTTCGAAGTTAGAAAAAGGTACACTTCGCTTCCTCAAGCCGGAAGAGGCTAACTGCTTAAAGCAACGTTCAGTAGCGCACAACTGCCGGATATAAAGCTTGAAGCACTCATCTAGATAAATATGCAGTAAATACCCCATAACATCAGGTAGCTTTAGGGTGCATCGACCTTTTTCGTGCACAGATACGTGAAAAAACTTTCGCTTGTATGCTTATATATATAAAGCAATGAATATATCTCACAGGATCCTTTTACTTGTTGTAGAAACCCGCGTCATTACAAAGCTACTGCACGCTTTACGCTACTCGACAACAATAAGTAGACTGATTTATACCAGAAATGAAGACGCAAGCAAAGCCACGAAAACAATTATCTAGTTCGTACGTCTTACCGTCTAAAAACGCGACACAAATGGCTTTTCGTAAACAGCTATGGCTATATCAATACGGTAACGTCATGCCTCAGTGTTCAGACGCGTCAAGAGCATTATCCGGCCAACAAACGTCGGAAACTACAACTAGCGGAAATGGGATACACACATGAAATTGTTTAGAATAGAAAACAGTAATACAAAGCGTACTGTTATGAATCATCGGACCATAATCATAGTTACAGCATATGCTGGCAAGTAAATAAATGGTCCCGAAAAATGTATTCTTCTGTCTCCAGATAAAACCCGCATTCGGGTTGCTCTAGTCACGCTGCGACAGAATGCCGCATGCTGTCACGGTGCCCGTATCCGGCTATCAACGACATTTGATTATTGAATTTCGTTAATCTCAATCAAACAGTCAAATGGCTCAGGTAAAAGTAGTTTCGATCAAATCATTTGGCCAGCGGCGACGGGTTGGTGTTAGACACAGGCAAGTATCTCAGATAGGTGTGTTTAACAACGTGCTATATGTGTTAAAATTTTTTGTCTCGATCTATTGCGTTGTTTTCGTGGAAGACGAAAAATATTTGTATTTTTCATTTTTCGCTACTTGAATACGGCTTTTGAAACTGTCCATTCAAATGGAGTACTTCATTTGTGCAAGCCTTACGTAATGTAAATGTGAATTCATAAACGGGGTGTTCGAAAGCTTACAGACCCGTGTACTCTTGCGTGGCCGAATCTAAATCACGGCAAAAATTGTGTTATACTGCATTTTGAATATCACGTGTGCGTCTTTAGACTCACGGACAAGCTTAGAATCGTCCTTGTTTCGCATAACGTATTATATAACGGTACAATATAGGATAGAACGATCATTTTTATCTCTACATAGAATGAGAAATTGGTCACAACAAACAAATAGAAATTACAATCTCTTTTATTAGTTGCTTGCAGGAGCGATGTCTGCCACACACTATATTGCAATGCTGTTCGCTATGGCCTTGGACCGAATCGGACCACAAAACAGCCTTCGAGTGTGCGCGCAGTACTCTTCGCTGCACTTGCCTTACAGCATCAACTTTGATGAGGAGGTCCTGCAGAACCCATCGAAAATTTACATTTATGAAAAGTTTTTCGAAACACTTGCTTACGCCGCCCAGGATGACGAGTTTAACAACACGGACGGGATGCCAATCGAGTTCCTGTTAATGTTGCAACGAATCAGCTATGATTTCGCTTCAGTAAGTCGTTGTCCTTCTATATTTGATATGATCGACATTCGTTGCCGATCTACATCGTCGAGGTACCTATAGCGTTCCCGCCTAACTAACACAACCGCCCGTAACAACATCTGGGGACGCAGTTTTTCAGTACAAGCAGTTTTCAAACCCAAGTCAATGAGCAATCAATCTCTAGTCATTATTAGTGCGCTTTTCACAGAGAGGTCTGTCGATAGTTCCGTTGTTTGTAGAACATCGGAGAATATCGCTAGCAGATCTATGTCCTACAGCAAATAAGCGTCCATCACAAATAATAAACATCGCAATTATAAATTCGGCATTTTTGGCTTAAGATGAGTAAACCCAACTGATGCGATAGCGTTGTTTAGTCGTAGCGTACAGGTGTTCCTTACGAAAAGTGCAGCAATACAATCGCATTCAGCATTGATCAAAAGAAGCAATCCTATTATCAGCTAGATAATTTATTTTAACTTAACGATAAAATCTTATAGAAATAGATTGTCTGTTCTCGCTGAGGATGGCCGGTTTGCATGAGTCCGTTGCAAATCGTTTTGTGGTTTAAAGAGAATTCAAACGAGCATCGCTTTTGCGACACTGAACGACAGTGAGACGCCGAGTTTGGCGATTCAGTTCTAGGCATAATACGGTTCCACCTAAGTTATACCGTACGGCGCACTTACATCGGTTGTCCAGCTCCATTTATAGGTGCATTAAGGCTGTGCTGACACAAGCACAAACTTACGCACCTAGCGGGTACTGCGCTTGAAAAGGCTGGCGTAAATCTTACGCTACCGAAGAAATACGAATAAAATACCTAAACATTTCTATTATTTTTTTTTCTTATCTATTATCTATAATTCTATTATCAAACTCAAAAAAAAAAAATAAGATTTGGGATTAGTTTCTGAAGGAACAGCTCACGTATATTAGCCCGATTTTTTTTTTGTTTCAATCAGCCTGTCTTTAGAGAATTTTCAGTCTATACTTGATTACTGCGATAAGTGCCGCATTCGCAAATAAGGCACGTACTTCAGTATTTCATATTTGAGAGTGTCTATCATTTCCATATGTGGATACGTTGTCTGAGTTCACTTTGAGATCATATGCTTATGAGTGACTCTAGCTAAATTTTACCATTTAGGTTCGCGATACATTCGAGACAGGCATTACCAATATGGAAACATGTGCAACTTGTCGGAGCCTTATCGGCATCCTGACCTCAGTACGAAAGATGGTCTCTCGATCTGTATTTTACCGAGGTATCGGCTTTATTTGTCAGTGGTTCCGCCTGAATACACCAACAGTTTGCGCTGGACTCATTAAGAATTACGAGGTTAGTGGCAGTTTCTCTACTAACGAATCAGTCCGAAACCGTTTTCCAATTGATAGGTTAATTATCACGAGATATTTTGCAAAGTTTGAAGTTTTCAATCGTTGTTGCTATTCTATTTGGACAAATAAATAACAATAACAACGATATCTGTAACCGATATAACTTCTGCAGCTAACCACGATCGTCTCATATGTTCTGCTTTGAAGAGCTACAATGATTTAGAAAATATTAAGGTCAACCGCGCTAAAAAAGCCCTAGCGCGCTGCGATGCGTTGGCAATTCTTGTTTTTTTTTTTTTTCGATTTACAGGATGAAATTGATTTTATCATGGACGAAACTGGTAAACGGGGTATTACCACTGAGGAGTCGTGTACTCTTGTATTTGGCCCTTCATGCGGCACCCTGTCGTCAGAATATCACAACTGGTCCATCAATTCCAATGAGCTAACGCCCAGCGTGTCAGAAGATTCTACTGCTCAGACAGCGACAGTAGCGCTTGATCCAGTGGTTTTATTCTTCGAAGAGCTTCAGCATATAGCCAACGAAAAAAACCAGATCGACCAAACAAGCTATGAGGGAGAGCAGAAAATTAGAGCAAATGATGAGTCTTACGGTATTCTCCACATAAGTGATACACATTTCGATCCGGAATACGCAGTAAGTGATCAATATTTCTTCTGGTCATTATTTTCAGGTATTCAAAGAAACACGTCACCTTAAAGTCGTCGTGTGGGAAAAATAGGTATATATATGGAAGTAGTGTTCGATCTGAGTTCTGACTAGAGCTTTGGCACCGATTGCAATATAACGCTGGCTGAAATTGGCATGCATTTTATAATATCATATTTTGTTAGGTGGGGAGCCTTGCCAATTGTTCTGAGCCTCTGTGTTGTCAAAAAGCAAGTGGGACACCTGCAAATCCGGCGGAAGGTGCCAAGCCCTGGGGAGATTACCGGCGATGTGATCTTCCCCAACAGACGTTTGAAAGCATGTTAGAACACGTCTACGATAAAATGTCCGATCAGGTAGTATATCATATAAAAAAAAACTTACTTCAATACATTTATTATTTATATAGCAACGACGGCATAAGCCGTGCTACCGGAGGGAAGGGTTAGAGTATTAGAAAAACATTCTTGGTTGAAGCTTTCTGTGTATATTTAAATATTCGAGGTCGTTCATTACATGCATACCCAACATATGTGTGATCATAACAGATGTAATTTTGTCACGTTTACCCTCTGTACCATAGGTAAGCTTTGCTTACTGGACAGGTGACCTTCCCGCTCATGATCTCTGGAAGCTTAGTCAGGCGACGAATGAGCATAACTTCAAAATGACCTCGGATCTGCTACAAGATACAATAGGCCAAATTGGCGGCGGGAGCTTTAAAATTTATCCCACCATCGGCAATCACGAAAGCGTTCCGCCAAACATGTGTGTAACAGGATCTTGATGTCAACCATGTCATTAAGGAGCAATGTTTATATACATGTATAGACATGTCTGCTTAATTAATCGCAGTTTTCGTTAATAAGCAAAGTTTTCGAGAACTCACCATGCTATAAATATAGCACCCCTTATAAATATAACCGAATTTAGGACGTTGGTTAGTACGCTTAACAGGGTGATTTATTCCTTTAAGGTTCACGAAATCTACGACCGTCGGAAAAGGCGAGGCAGCTCCTCGTTTTCTTAAGAAAACGCAACGTCTTTACGATTTCCTTTGGGAGTCCTGGAAGCAATGGCTGCCCGCTGAAGCAGAGCAGACCTTCCGTAAATCAGGATATTACAGCGCGAAGCCTCTACCAGGACTTCGAGTCATTTCGCTTAACACCAACTATTGCTACTACTTTAATTTGTACGGCAAAAATCTGTAGGGCGTCCACAAGCAATCGAATTGGTTACATGTATTTGTCAGCTAACAAGCACAGTGAATGGAGGCAAACGATTGCACAAACGGAACAGGAAAAGGGCAAAAATAGACCGAGTGGTTCATATGTGCTCATTTGCAAATGCTTAGTATTTAGCAATGATAGCGTTACAACACTGATTATTCACAGCTGCATGACGATGTACAGTTCTTAATTTATTTTGGGGTTATTATTATTAGTGCACGCACAATGGAAAGACTGACAAAAGATCATTAGGAAGGGTAGAACTGCTACAAAACGAGAAAACTCGGAAAGCGCCGCACTTACGCGCATTAGCCAATGCATAGGCCGAGCACAGGTGTGATGACATGACTAACATGTTGTAAAGGATGCAAGTTTAGCATATCTAGCAAGATTCGGGATCGGCTTTGTGTGCTTTAAGCCACAATATACACGTGCTAGGTAAGCAAAACGGAACGAAAGTGTCAGGGCAAAAATGCGGGAGGCTGTCTCTTTTAACATATAAAAAAAAACAGCTGCGTTTCTACCTTACGCGTGACTTCTAGTCTTCGAGAAGTCAACCGTGATCGGATTTGTGGGACTATAGTCGTATGCCTGGTGTCTAAAAGGAAGCCTAGTTTGAAAGCGCTCGAGAGCGCACTGTGTATCTCATGAGCGGTTAGACATGACTCTTGGTGACGCTTTGTCTTCTTTTTTTTTTTTTAAATACAATGAGCAAATAAAGAGCTCTGAGTCACCATTGAGTGTACGAATGACACCTGTTACGGACGAAAGGGTTTTGACGACAAAACCCGTTCTGGGCGACCTATTTCGACGAATACGGAGAAAAGCATTGAAAAAGGCAAACAACTTATTACGGAAGATCGCCCTCACCGACTCTGCACGAAAATTGAATGCGATAATTGTTCCACATTGTTCAGTTTGTTAAAATTAATAGATCCCAGTGTGCTCGTTTCGGTGATGTATGATTTCCCAACTTTCTGAAGCTGCGACTCCATGTCTAGACAGCGCATGCGAGTGCTTCCGCTATAGCCTCGGATAACAACCAGGACAATCTAGCTTACTTAGATCTTATCTCTACGCTTAGGCATTTCTAAATAATCCATTGGATTATTTCGGAATAATCATTTAAAGGCTAGAAGGTTTACAGCAAAGATCATGTCGAAGCATCTGAAATTCAAACAAAAGCAGACTAAGGAGATTCGAAAATTCATACTCAAAAATTGTTTAAAATGTATATTTGCATCGACTAGTGATATACACAAATGAATAACAAATACAAACTTTACTTTTATTACTACTGTTTTTGGCAGTTGGTTATTGCTCGATTCGCGGGATCCTGCCGGGCAGCTGGTATGGCTCGACAAGGAGTTAGCTGAGTCGGAAAAGCTTGGAGAAGCTGTACACATAATCGGCCACGTTCCCCCAAGTCTAGCGGATTGCGTGCAAGTGTGGAGCACTGAATTTCATTCGCTTGTACACAGGCTTGTATTTAGTCTCACCTTTATAGTAACAATAAATAATCGTAATCACACAGATTGTGTAGTGTATGTCATCGGCGAGACTTGAAGTAATGGTCCCTCGGCCAATGACAACAATAACCACAGAAGCTTAGTGGCTGTTGCTATTCGCCATTCTGCATTGGACAACCGATCGTGCAAAATCGTATCATCGCGTGTGATGCACGTATTTGTTCGTTTCAACTGTTAATTGTCAGACACGCGTGCTACAAACAATTGTTACTATTCCGGTATACATTCCTGTAGCCTTGGATGCAAAAATAGATCTTGCTAAACAAGCCCTTTTGAGCAAGCAGTTTTCTCCCCAGACCCGCTAATATACAAAAACTAGTCGAAGCCTGTATTGACGCTTTCGAAACTTTTTAGACCGTACATAAATCGGATAATCGCCAAGATAGGTTTTTGTTATCTTTGACAGATACAGTATAAAAGGTTTTTTTTTTTTTTTTTACTAAAAAGGGAATATTATGATACAATTAAAATGGCCTTTTTCATCTATACGAAGGTCATGTGCAACATGTGAAACAATGATCTATAGTATCAATAGTTACCATCTCGGACGGTTAAATTGAAAAGCCACCTTTCAGTCTATTTTGTCGAATTGTGTCGAAACTACTGAATAAGGCCATTACCTATATCAGCAGCGCTAGAAAGGCTAATTAGGTCTCGACAAACATTTCACAAATCTACTTTTCGCGCACTCTGAGGTTCCATAATATTATTTTGGTAGCATGATATCCATACTGGGTCTAATATGCCCATTTGAGTATAGGAAAAAAAGTATATGATTGCCTGTCTTATATTGACCTGTCTTATATATTGTATTATATTAGAATGCCCTAAGAATTAAGTGATCGGTACGAGAAGCAGCCTTAGCCTCGTCCATACTGTAATTTCGCTATTTCGTTTAGAGTTACTTGATAGCCTGCTAAAACAAAGCAATATATGTACGTGTACAGAATAGCAACAATCCTTAATACACTGCTAGGAAGCAGGCTTGACCTAACGGTAAGACTCGTCTGCGAGAACTGATTTCCACGTTAGGAACAACCAAAAAACTATCCTGGATTAAGAAAAGGATCTGTGGCGTACGTGTCTAGTACGATGCTTTGCCACCGGCTGCTTATGGTCTAAAAATTATCGTTAACACACGTTAATTTCTCTCGTAGTGTTCATAAACTGCACTGACCCTATATGAAGTAATGATGGCGTAGCTAACAAATTGGAAGTTCTTGTTCCCGACCAGTGAATACACTGCTGAGCGTAAACACTGTTCAAGCAAAGTCATTCATTTCGTATGCGCTTCTAGGTACCGGAAGACAATAAAGGCCCAATTCTACGGACACACGCATTATGATGAGTTTATCGTGTACTTCGACAAAGACACTCGTGCAGTTCCAATCAACATTGCTTATATTGGGCCTAGCGTCACGACCTATTCCTATCTAAACCCGAGCTTCCGGATCTATCGCTCCAACGCAAAAACAAACAACGTAAGAATTTTGTGTGAACGTATAGTACATTCATTGCAAATTTGCTAGCGGGAAACGTCCGGTTAGCACCGGGTTCGCCGTAACCAAGGGGTCATAAGTATGTACATCTTGCCTATCTGCATGTACCGATTGTGAACAAGCATACAAATTCAACTGCAACCTCATCTGCGTAGGCTCACTGAGTACCGTATTCGGCCCAATAACAAGCTCAATAATATATATATATATATATATATATAAGATATAACAGTTTCATAAAAACTTGTGATAGGCCATTAGTCAACATTATGGAGAATGGCTTTGAATTGCTCAAAATTCATGAGATATAATAACAAGGATATAATAATAATAATAATAATAATAATAATAATAATAATAATAGGAATATAATTCAAAAGATATAATAATTCTTTAGGTAAGTGAAATAGTAACATCAGTTTCACAAACTGTTTCACGCAAGATTCCTGCCGAAGGATTTGGTGGAGATCCCGGGTAGGACAGACGAGGAGAGCTGGTAGACGATGTTCTTTGAGGAGTAACGACAAACGACAACAAAATGACTGCTGTTCCTGGTCTTATAGTGGGCTGCCTATGAGGCAATAGCAAATCCAGCAAAGCTCAGCTAATTGCACAGGCTTGCCATTAGCCGTTTGTCGGAGTTGTTCTGTTCTTTATGTCCGCACCCCCGGAGCTTTGGCCAACTGTTGATCGAACGGGACCGGGGTCCACTGGCGAATCGCCGATAGTCGATAGGGATAGTCGAGAGACCAGTTGCAGGACTTGCGGGTGGTCGGTGTAGGGGCGGATATCGGGTAAGCGCTGCCTCGACGCCCTTAATCTGTTGGGCGCCCGCTACGCCGGCCTTTCTCATGTTGTCGGACTATAGAAGCACTAAGCAGCCCTATTAGCCTGTTGATCGTCGTCAGCTAAGGATCGCCTTCACTGCGGGTTCTACTTCTACTCTCATTCCTTCTTGTCACTGCTAGCAACCGCTAGCAAACTAGTTAAACCCAGAGCCGGATCGGGCACTTCTGAGCAGATTGCATGTTCCACAGATGTCCTGGACTGGGGTCGCTATGGACGATATCGTTTTGACATGAATCCGATCCTACCGATATTGCACCAGTGTGTTCTTGCCGTTCGGTTTGGTATAGTTTGAGTCTGCTGAACCCGAGTCACCGAACCGAGACGAGAGTCTACCAAGGACTCAGACCCAATGTCCAACAGGATGAAGAAGGCAATGGAGGTGACGGCGCGAGCTGACTCGACGAGTTGGCTCATTCGAACAATCGACCTCACGCAGCAATGTCTGTGCTGTACTACTGCTGTTGTTATATTTGTATTGTGTTTTCTACCACCCCACAGTAAAGTGACGCCTGTCGTGACTGTAACGTGTGCATACGCGAAGCTCATGGACGAGGCAATGGCCAGATTATATGTGATCTATGAAAAATGAATCGTGGTATGTTGTATTGATTTGATGTGAATTGAAAAAACTAGTAAGGTTAGTTACCACAAAAATCGGATTGCATACGCAATTTTACAGATTGTCGACCACGAGACGTACTTCCTCAATTTGACGCAAGCAAACGCCGAGAACCGTGCTGAGTGGCAGCTCGAATACTCTGCTCGGAAAGATATTCCACTTGAAGAACTGACCCCCCGCCATTGGAGCAACTATGTGGACAGGATGGCCCAGAACCCGGCCGAATTTGAAAGGTTCTACACGTAAGTGTGATACGTCACGCCATTGCAGCGATCCGCAAAAACGTGAACCTTCTAGTTAACTAACACGGATAGCATTTAAGCTTAGGATTTTTAGCAATATATAACGTACTCCCTACCTGTCACTTGATGCCTCTCTGTGTGGTTTGGCAGCATCTCATGTAGATATCAATATACATGCATTATATAGAGAGATGTGTACTATATCTTCGTTTACGGGTCATTCAGCAGTATAGCATTCATATGAGAATTTACAATATGGCTATATTAGATACTTTTCTCGGAGGTTGATAACAAACGAAGCATGTTCAGCCCGCGCACACCAACAGTTCCGAACTAACGTTGAGTGCTTCTATTAGATGTTCGTATCTTTTTCACAAAAGATGATAAAACTTTGTATTTAAAGGCGCACCAGGTAACATCTGATGAGTATCTACTATATTATAAGTGAGCCAAATTATGAAATTTCGCCCCTATTTCAATTGAACACATATAAACGCATTTCATTTTGATTTCGTCAAAATCAACAATAAATTTGTCTGGAACGATATGCATAGTCCTACAAACGTTCAACTATTCAAGTGATCTAAACAGATATCTCGATGGTGTGCCTAAATTAAGAGATCTGCGGGTGATGCCTGTTTCCTGTCTACAGCCGATTCTTGCACTCTTCCGACGAAGACTTCCCGTGTGATGAGCGCTGTGCTCGTCGACAGCTCTGTCGAATGAAGACAGATATCGCTCATGATTATCGCGTCTGTGGACAAAACAGTTCCGGCCTGTTGGACTCGATTATGAATTGGAATCTAACCTCGGGCATGGCATTGGATGGTCTGATCTCGGCGTTAAACGAAACCAACGACCAGAAAAAACAAACGCATCCCGTTAAACTTGGCCCGTTCTGGTCTGCCGTCCATTACTTAACTCAGTCCGTCGCTGCTTTCTTCCCAAGCTTCTATGTGGCGCACAACAGCCCTCCGAACCTATACAATAACCAATGGGATCTCGAGCTATAACGATGCTTGCAGATGTAATCATCTCTCAAGTCCCCATCTGTTGGTTGTTAAAATCGAACCGGAACGCTCTCGCCGATGTGACGCGTCCACAACGAAAAAACTAGAGAAGATTTCGTCCGCTCGAGCTAATATTGCTATTGATATGCATGCATGTATCGAATGAATAAATCAATTATTTTGAATTAACTATTTTATATTGAGTTGTTCTTATATACATTATGAATCAAAGAATAGTATGAAACAAATCGGCTTTGTTTCGATAAAACCATCGCATCGCTTTCTGTGTGTTAGTATAATTTCATAACCTGGACCCTTCTGACGGTCCTGGATCAACCCTTTGTCTGGCTCTCAGCCGGCAATCTAAGCATGACATGTAAGAGCTTTGTTAACCACTGAAAGGCGGAGTTCTATATCCAAGTTGCTATAAACGAAGAATTCATCTGGCTCTTAACAAAACAATGCTGTATGTACTTGTTAAAGTACATAACTGTACTTTAACATTCTATCGCCAGTGTAAATCTGTTAATGCAAGGGAACACATGTGTGCTTGTTCCAGTAACAAACTCACTAACCACTCGATCTGGCGGTTCAGTATGCTGCGTACTAAAGAGAGGACAGGGAGAACTTCAGAAAGTTTTTAGCTTGTAGTCTTATCATGCTACACAGGTATAGCGGGCTCCGACACATCGGCGTATAGAGGTGCCACTTATTTGCGAGACGTAATTTGCCATGTTTGCGGTGGCCACAAACAAAAATACTGAGGCCTTGTATGACTGTAATGGGAACAAACGTCCGTATAGTGTTCGCAGTGCTGGCAAACTTCAGAACTCATCTAGCGTATAGGTTAACAGAATCGACTGCATCTTAAGAAGCTGCAAATAATAATATTAATTAAATAAATTAATAAGTAAGCAAATATTAAATCCGTATAGATTCGCTTCGGCAGTTGACTATTTTACAGGCAATGTGGAGCGCCGTAAAAACATGCTGCCTCCGGAGAGCGTTGATAATTACCTCACTCAGTTAACCTAGCCTATGAGGAAAAATATAATTTGGCGTACTAACGAATGTAGTACGTTAGGATTAATCTAAAAGCATGAACCCCACAAAAATTTGAATAGGTCAACACGAATCTCTTGTTAACAGGCATCTAAATCTTACCCTTTGGAACGCAATCCATCTCACTGCCGCGTTACCATATTACTAAACAGAGTTTCTCAAGCTGTCTAACAGACAACTTGAGAAACCCTAGCTCTCAACTCTCGACCTCGACCCTGACACTGGGAAAGGCCCATATCTCATACGTTTGTGACTCTATTCGCACTATAGAGAATTAGGGTTGGGGTCGAGTTTTCAGACAGAATTGACACAAACTCCATAACCTCGTGGCCTGCTTGTGTTATGCCCCACCCCATTTTTGATAACGATGAAGGTTTGCGAAAAATCGTCTATGGTAAAAAGAGAGAGAATCGAAGCGATTTTTTGAAAAAGAAATGAAATTTCCTTATAACACCTGAGCCGAAACGAGGATGCACAAGTTCCGATACCGAATTGCTGATGTTCTTTACATATTTCTACTTTCCACAGCAACTAATTCAATATTTTTTAAGGTGGCTAACAACGACAGCGCGCTGATTATCGGCGACTGTGATGCTACTTTGTGAAAATTCATATTTTGATTTTTGGCTAGATACGTATTCTGATATAAGCTAACAAGCTCATATAAAAAATTGTTTCGACTGTACTTAGCGATATACACCTCACTATCTTAGTCTAGATAATGCCGGTCACATTTGTTACCAATCATAATAGAATAACGCAAACGTCGCGCACTTTTAATTGTGTGTAGACTGCTGTGAGCAATGGTGGTACTTCGAACTTTGCCAAACTGCTGTCATAAGTTCTGTTACTCTTATACGTTGTCCGTATCAAAAACGTTCTGTTCTGTATGTTCTGTTCAGTTATTAAGAAGTACATTAATGCCCCACTAGAAATCATTGCCTTATCACAATGGGCTTAGTTGCTTGTTACATGGCTGAGTTCTTTTCCTACTGAGCTCTGTGTCTTGCGTCAACTGACCGGGCTTCATTTCATATAAACTCTATGTCAAGGCCGACCAGCGCCAAATCGATGCACTATGAAATGCCTGGATTTACAGCAGTCCTGTTCAACAGTTCATTACGCTGCTCCGCCAGAAGAAAACGCCGTGCGCTCGGCTAAATCCTGTCTATTGTCACGACAACGCACATCACGGCTTTGTGGAGTTAGCATACGAACATCAAGTCTGCCGTTGGTGGTCGTCAAGATGAAAGGTCCAAAAGGGCCTATTTCTCCTTATGTCGGTCCTGTCGTTATTCTTGTCGTTGGTCTTTTTGTGCGTTTCCCTGTCGTGCGTCATCGCCGACCTAGCAAAAAGGGTTTTCGTGTCGTGTCGGGTGCGACAGGCAACATAAATCAATCTTAGATGTTTATATAGCTTGTCCGACGAACCCGGCTTCCATAGGCCCGATTGCTAGTTCAGGGCAGGCATATTACGCGAAACAATAACGACAGATTAAGACACAGGGTGGAGTCCAAGGTCAATTCACATAGCCATACTCTTTTATACGTAGCACGTATCGCCGCGTGCATAGCATGAGTGTCTAGTAAAGGAATGGTTCTGCCCCCGTTCGTCGCATCGCTGCCCGTCTAATGCGACCATGTCATCCAGATTACCGCGAAAATTCTACGACGGTGTGTAGCTGGCTCAACAGTGGCGGCGGCGGCGGCGGCGGCGGCGAAACCAGACGTCGAATGCCCTGCTTTGTCTAACTGGAGCTAGTTCGTGCGCGCTGTTCGACACGGCGCTTTCAGCATAATCCTAACCATTCCAAGTGGTGGCGCCGGTAGCGGCAGCAGGAAGAAACTTCGCGTACGGCGGTTCTGTCAGTAGATACGTTCTGTTTCTAAAAGACTGACTGTAGTTGGTTTGAATGACTGAAAATCGATTAGAAAGGCAAGTTGATTCTGCACACTGAAAGACTCGTTTACAGGCCACACCGCATCTAGGGCATGATCTCAATTCAGGTGGAGCGACGTTGGACGTCTGCGAAGGTAGATGCACCCTAGACCACAAACAGATTAACTAAAAACTATCAAAACGACGGAATCAACATCAAAACCTAAACGGTGTTCGAAAAGTATGCATTCAAGGAACTAGTCCTCATCAAACCGACAATCAACCTAACAAGACGCCTCACCGCCTCCTATACAAAGTGCATCGGTCAAAACGGAAAGGGCTGCAGCAGTTCGACCTTCGTTCAGCCGGATTATGACGATAAATGTGTCGTCTCGCTTAGGGTTTGCATTAGGACAAAACCTGCCATGATTTTGAACAAACCGACCTGCGATATGCTAGCTAGGCGAAAACCTACGAAGAAAACCATGACGAATAGCAGTATGTTGGGACAATTGAGTCGGTTCAGCTTGCCTGTGACGAGCGAAAAGAATCACAGCAATTGGGAGTTGGAAAAATCACCAGAAAAATCCCTCTGAAAAAGGAAGTTCAACAGATCAATTTTAGAGTATTCCGCCCAGGGTAATGTGTCGAATTAATGGTGCAGTACGAATATGCAAACTTTTCAAATAAATGTTTCAAAGTAGAAGAAAGCACGTCGTAGATGTTTTGTCATTTGATGATGAATCATATAGCAACCACCATGCTGCGCATCGTGGCGACAAAGCATTAGAACTATCATCGGTGCGTGGAACCGTTGATTATGTCACTTCCGCATTGTGTACGTTACTTCAAAGGAAATATATAACAAGAGATCATCCACGAAAAGGCGCAAACTTCCCGCCTCTTTGCCTACCACCAGTCATCGGTTAGGGTTCATTATATATATCCGATAGAAATATATGAAACACAACCCAACAGTGCTGACAGCACGGCAGTGGTTGTTTCGAACTTAGTATAAGTGTGCTAGCAGATGTTGTAGGTTTTGGTAAAATCTAACGGGTCTGTGAGCTTTTGCATTGAGAAGTCAATGTTTTTAGAAAAAGAAGTCGCTGCTTGCTCGTCTTGCACTACTTGTCTTGAAATGCTCTCGATTAGGTTTACTTGATTGGGTGCCTATGATAGGGTAATCGGTACCGTCGTGGTCGGAATTTGAATCCGAGCGTAGATAGAATTCCACATTGATACGAGCCGGGACCAACTGTTTAAAGCGTTGCATAACCGCCTATGTGCCGGATGTAAAACATGAGAAACACCTTTAGAGAAGGATCATCTCATTGAAATACTGAGAAGACACCTGGGTCACGTGTTAATCAATTAGACAGGCTAAAGCTACCATGATATATTCAACCGACACGTGACACTCGGTTAGCTAGTTGATTTGTGTCATTTAAAACTCACTAATCTGTTGTATCAGGACTGTCAGAAACCGATGTTGGCTACTTTTCAATTCTACCAGTGGTATATTTTTTTGTGCGAATTCATTCGAAAAATTGCTGTTATTGCCAAATTTGTCCGTAGCTGACCTTTCTGCCTTAAAATTTTAAGACCGAAAGGTATTGTTCACACTGCCGCCTTCGTTCCAACTGGTGGGAAAGGCGCAGCTGTTACAAGGAGAATTATGTGCGAGATCAAGATGAGATGAGCAGTATTCCACCGCCTTCGCCAACATTGATTCCAGATAAAGATCGCGATTTGAGCTCCAATTCACACTCTAAACGGCCACTCGACCACGTGCGCAGAAATCGAAAGGAAAAGGACAATGTAAATATGTTCGTGTTCGGATGTAACATTGGGGGACCCTATGGGATTTTAGTGACCCGGAGAATGCTAGAAGATGTCGGACATAGATTATTTCGCATCCAAGCTATAATTCGTACTATGGCCTATCCGCTTTTTGTGAGCTACTATTTGTATCCACGCAAGCTGATCTAAAAGGCAGGTTGTTTAATACAATAGGCACAAGTCTGAACGGACGTCATCCTTAATCACGCAGCCCTTCTATTGTTCCGACTTTGCTGAAGTGTGTACATAACCAACGAAACAGCCTCAACAGGAGAACTTAATTTCCGCCCGTTTTAATAAAGTCGATGAGTCGAAATTCATTTTTGCCGCTCTCATAGTGCGCTATAGTTATGATTATTCAATTTGTGTATAGCGCTACTCCTGAACATTGTCGTACATATGTAGCGATCAGCAACCTTCGTAAGACAGAAACCGAGGAACAACCTATCGACTGAAGCCCACGTGCGAAGCTCGACAGGAAAAGAGCTTCAAATTTTATTTTGTTCTTGGCATTGAAAACGCTGGCACTTGGAGCTATGCACGACACTGAACTTAAGTCGAAACCTTGAAATGAAGGTGGCTCCGACAGAAGGTTGTATTCCTAGGATTTTTAGCCTTTGTGAGCGCTGAAACCTCTCAATGTATGGCATCCTGAAGGGACAGTAGTGCACACGGCATAGTGAGAGCCCATTTTTCACTATGACAAAGGAGAGTAAATATATACTTGTATTATATCTTCAATATGCTTAAACGTAACTGCGAGGCGAGCCGGAGTTTTCAAGTCAATTTAGAAAACAATTACTAATTATCAGTCGGGAGCCAAATGTGAAACCGCAGTACCACGGGGGTACTGCTTTGCCCATTTCTCTATAGAGACGTCACGTTCTTTAGCTTAATTTTTAAATCTCTTTATTTTATCCGATTTGTACACGCATGAGTCGTACTGCAAAACTCAAACCATTTTCTGATAGACTTTCTTATTTTCCACCTACTACTAAGTCACGAATAGAAATGTATTACATTTGTTAGTTTTACTTCAACCCAGATAGACTTAATCAGCAGTAGTAGCAATGAAAATAACCCCACTGAAAATGTAAGCTATGACCCTGACAAGAGCGTGATAATAGATAACCTTATTACGCGATGTAGAATGTTGGCTTATTTTGTGGCCCATCGTATCTGATCTTTCGCGCCATTGTGATTGCACCTAGACCGGATTGCAGATAAAGCTGAGACGCTCACGGTCATAAGTTAACACTTAATTATAATCGGGGTGCTTCTTTAACAGCTTCTATTTAGGAGACCGGCCTCTGTAGCAGGTGGTATCAACAAATTGTTTCTATTATAGCTATCTTGGACGAATCATTAGATGACAAACGAGGCTACGGCTGAGCTACATAGCACTATAGTCTTTTCTGGCAAATAGGTAGGCTCACTAATTAGAATAATGCGGAAAGCATCAATCACAACATTATAACGCTGTCACTGTCATTGGAGTAGCTACTGGTCGTGACCTTTTCTGCTCGTACCACTGCGCGGTACAAACATGAATTCAGGCGTTGTTCGCACTAGGACAAATATGTACAATCCATTCTTCAAGAAAATTGTTTGTTATAGTCGAATTAAGTGTTTGTCTCGAAAAAGGATCACGGTAATTGAGTTACTTCGAACAAGGAACTTATCCGGTTGACTTTCCTAGAACGGATTGCAAATAAAGTTCGATTTCGAGCTGGAAGGAAACAGCTCCTCTTCCTCTAGGTCAACCGTGACGACCGTAATTTCGAAGCGTAGAATGTCCTAGTACTAGGTCGACGGATTAGGAAAAATTAATGAATTGCTTTTTAAAGTTACTATCGAATACGGAGGCCTCGCATATGAACAGCTATACGTATCAATAAGAAGCTGTACAGTGACAAAATCTGTATACTGCCAAAAGATCTGCTTCTTTAATGACCGTTCTCCTATATGTCACCTAATCGGGGGCGTACTTCAAAGTGAGCGAGGCACATTCGCATGTGCAACATTGTCCATCATCGAGATATGCAAAATCTCTTTAAAGTAAGATCCGAACTACCAAATCTGTACGCGCATACAACATCCACATTACGCACAGGTTCTGTCTAAGTCCGTAGGAAACTAAATTCTCTCATGACACTGTGTTTAAATCCGTTAGTGCACACGTTTGCCGAAGTTGTGCTTGCTGGACAAGCGTCTATCAACTCCACCGACCCAACGCTGGCTGGCCTGAATATGTGAAGCTTTATTTTCGCTTTTCCAAACAGAAGTACGTGAATATGGGGCCTCTAGTGTGTACATGTTAGATAGAAAGCGTGGCAAATAACGAGAGTCTTGTTTAGTCTTTTGTGTGGTGGAACTAATTCTAAACCAGCTGATCCAACATGGAGATCGCCGCTGAATTGTTGATGACAGCGACTTCGGTGAAAACCAATTGAGCGTAATAGTGCTTGCATAAGCTGACTAAGTGGCAGTCCTTTCCCAGCAGTTTACCATTGACAACTGGGTTAGCAACTAGCCACAGCCACACGCATACCGCTTTTGTTCAAAGTTGAGGCTGGGTTGATACAGACAGGTCCGATAGAACGCTTCTGATATGTGAATCAGAGTCATTAAGAAGGCCGGTAATATTAATAACTAAGAATACTAATTATAGTAGCAATTGTCTTTTCTGGAAAGAATAGAAGTACAAATGTCGACTACTTCGGGAACGGCCGTAGTCGTATTTATATTTAGGTTCATCTTGAATGTTTCGAATTTTTACGTCCCGCATATGAGCCACTGGGCGTCGCTTTGGAGAGCTGCCTACCCTTCTACTAACACAATACGAAAATTGCCTACCCTCGGATTTCGAACTTCAGCTATCACGTGTCGTTAACGATTGTCAGCAGACGCGTCGCTACTGCACTATTACGTGTTGGCTAAGATATACTATGAGGAACTTGACGTTTTCGAAATCAGTTCCTATTCTGAATATGGAATATAAGTTCAAAACATACCTATTAACGTTAAAGGAACCACGGAAAAAATGTTTTTGGACACTTGAGACTTCACCAAACAAATGTAAAGTTTTTTTCATGTCTTCAATGTTTAGTCCTGCAGCTGAAGCCAGCTACGGAAAAGTATTCGTAGTAAACGGGTGGGTAGATTGGAATGTGTGGGTAGATTGTGGTAATTCGTAGAAGACAATGACAACGGCTGTGTGTTGCGATATCGTTAAAACTCGATAAACTACTATCTAGCAGGGTGATTGAATAGCAGAAACAAGCACGAGGTATTTTTGATAGCTTCAACAAAGCAGGACAGAGAACTAACTGAGCAGCGAAGTACTGATGCAATTGCAGCAAGATCATGGTATCAGGCAACAAGAATACCTGCAACGAATTCATATAAGTGTTTTAATAGAACATTCACTAAATGTGAATTACTTACACAAAATTGAATTGGGTGTATGCTGGATTGCAAAAGGTAACTAAGCGAATATAAAGAACTTCGTTATTTTCACTTCTGTATTAACGTTAATCTCTATATTTTTTTGTATAAAGTATTTTTGATGGAACGTTTTTTAGATTTCGAGCAGATCGCAATAACTTTGAATGTGTTGTAAGAATGACCTTCTTCAAACTACTTAGAGCCTCATTCCTAGGTAGCCAGTGTGCTACCGAGACAAACTGTTTGTATATATTTCTAACTAAATTATATGATGCAAATAAGATAAATGTTACGACTTCTAGCTCTAGGGCCACCATCAGCCATTGCGTCAGGCAGATAATATCGTAAATAATAACAGTAAATCAATTTACCTTTAATATGTGTGCTTTATTTCCAATAAAGATGTTTGGCCTCAAGTAGAAGTAAATTTAACAGCTTAGTAAATTTGGATACGGATTTTGGTGTAGATCACCCAATTTCAGCTCTTTTTAGTGGCATATTAGACAGCTAAAAACGGGAATTCAGATTCCTCGGCGTGCATATATTCCATCCTGTCCACGACACTTTTCGACGCACAATAATTTAGTGATTTTAGCAACCACCTGAATTCGCTGGAGAAATAGAAAATTTTCCAGTAAACCGTCTGATATACCGTAATTATATCTGAAATCTCGTTTGATTATCGAGAGACAAATAATATCAAGGAAACAATTGTGTTATATAATTCAATAGGGTCCTTTGCGGAGACGATACGACGAATCTATCTTGTATAGGCATACTGAGCTGTGTGTAATGAACTACATAAAAGAAAACAAAGAAACTATAACGTAACAGCTTCGTTTCAATGTCTTTGTTTTCCATTCATTTCTTCGTCGTTTATTTAATTCTATATATATTACTATTTGAAAATAGTCTATACATACGTCCGCCTTAATTGAGCAGCAGACAAGACCTGATCACATTGCATTCTACGTCCATTCTATTTCACCTATTCGCGAGATCAAAAGCCTGCCGAAGCAGCTTTGTATATCTGCGCCGTGCACAAGGTTGGATCTCGTACCGGAGAGGACTGCGAAAGGTGAAAACACAGTAGTGGCATTCAGGACCAGAATGATGCAACCCACTTCGGTTGGCCATCCAAGGTCAAAAGAATTGCCTAACGGTACTTCAGAAGAGCAACGGCCGGCAGATAATTTATGTATTAGAGGATATTAGAACCTTTTAGAGAAAAGGTTGTGCTGCAGCTAGGTGACTATCGGTACGCATTTTCAGTTTTTGGAAGTTGCTAGGAGACTGGGCGGCGCCTAAACACTATAAGGCCCAATGAGGACCCACATGTCTAACCTGAAAAATTATACTTTGCATTTGGTGGAACTGGATGAACTCATAGAAGGAAGTCCTCGAAAAAAGATACCAACGAGGATCCATATCTGGTTGTGTCGCGTAAAGTAGACAAGGCTATCCAACTTGAAAGACTCGATAGACGAAGAAAAAATCATTACTCTCCATGACAATCCTAGATGGCACATGAAAAGGTATTAAAGGCCATAGAATTCGATGAGCTGCTGCACTGTTGATGTTCCATTAAAATCGACGATTGATAAAAAGATGTTCGTCAAACTCAATTTAACGCGATCACTGCACGAAAAGCGTCCGTCCCAGGTACGAACTCACTATAAGATGAGCCGCTTTGTAAGCGCTTTGTGATTTCCTAGAAAAACTGATTCTTCCTTTTTCTGAGTAGTCTGGCCATAGACCCCGCTGCTTAAGGGCCCTGAAACCAGTCGATTCAACGAAGTCCATACCACAAACAACGAATTCTACGATCGAAATGGTACCTGTACGTTTATTTCTGTGCTCGTTCTATGATCAAGTAGCTCCATCAATAACCGTTCAAGACGTACAACATCCGTAATCCAACGTAGTGCTGCGCAGCTTATGCTCTAACGCACGTCGTTGAGTTTTCTAGGAGTATGAAACTCTATAGAAAAAGAACAGGTTACCAAACGTGCAGTGGGGATCACAAAGGCCGTTCTATACCGTTAAGAAAAAGCTCTACATCGTAAACTCCTAAAATTGAGGTTGGTCTTCCTGCTCCATTCTGATACACTCCCGAACAGAATGTGAGTGCTGTGAGTCTATTTTATTTTACCCTATGTACATATCTATACATACACCCACCTCCTGTTGAAAAATATTGGCTACGATCTTGTTGACCTAATGTTGATCTAATGAAAAAAAAACGAGTAGGTACAGTTGCCATACGTATATACGAACGAGCATGATTTGGCACAAAAATCCGATCTCTATCTCCAAGTAAACGAATTATCTTGTTGGTTGTTCTGCAGCAAAAAAAAAAAACAAACAAACGAAACCCTATCGAGTTGTATGTCGATCGACTTTTTTTTTTTAGCTGTGACAGCTGGTTGCAGCGTTTGTTCAGCGTCGTCTCTCTGCAGTTTTTCGAACGTTCGGACCCGAGGCTGATCTGGCTCTAACAGAATCACAGTGTCAGTAACAGCGAAGTGTGCAGCAGCGGTGGCGACAGGACAAGATCATATTGTTGACATAGAATACCACCATGAACAATGCCCACTCAGCGAAAAAGAGTAAACTATACTTTGTCTAGTAACTGCGTCAAGGCTAGTAGCACTCAATGCACGTCGGGCACTTAAATACTTCAGTGCGCTCAATTTCAACCAGAGTCGTTACACGTTCCGCTGTCATTGCGGTGCTCAAACCTTTATTAATTTGCAATGCAACAAACTTAATATCGTTCGAGAGAGATAGGAAAACAGCAACGGCGATTGACTGAAACTGACTGGGGAGACAGAGGCGCCGATGCATTGTAGTACTAGTTTGTAGACTTTAGAGCACGTAAAGTCACTGTTATTCGCAGCTGTTGACCAGAATTACGGGTGCCCATTAATTAGCGTGAAACTGAAAAGGTCGTTATGCGATGCCTCGGCATTGAACAGTCGGCTTAAGTGAGATTGGCGCCGACTGCAGTGGTGTCACTTCCACCGAAACCTTTCGTTTTTTGGTAGCTACTTCATAATTTTTTCAATACTGATTAGGAAAAGAACGACGATTGAAGAGACAATGTTACGGAGGAGAAAAAACCGAATGCGACAACGCTGAACCCGTCTATAAGATTATAGGTTAAACACCGACGACCTTTGTCGCGTTTATGTCGCACAGCTTGTGAGCACCTCTGCGCAATGCTGTTAAAATATAGCACAGCGGCTACAATGCTAATGGCCTGCGTGAGGGGTTCAAGAACAAGCGGACCAGCGGCTTGCATCGTCATTTAACTCTAAGAACTTTTTGGCTTATGACAGGTATGAAATCGCTTAAAGCTATCGCCGTTGCGTGCCGTATGTGGGCGATCACGGCCATCATCAGTCGTCGCCGCTGCTGCCCTCCTTACCAAGGTTCTTGCTGGAAAGCGCGATGCGTTACGCCGCACTTTGTTCGTTCGACCGTTTGCTTTGCAGATGGTCGACGTAACCTGTCGCGTGTTGTCGCCTATACGTCGTCCACCAGTGACTTTTACGAGCGGCATTTGTCCAGAAACCGCCATCACAAGCCGCACCTTCTGGCACTGATCGTCGCCACTGCAATAACCATTTTGCTGCAGTAACACGAACAGCAGTGCATCCCCATTCGCGTCGTTGACGCCACCGACTTCATCTCGTCCTGTCGCATGGTCCCCAAAACTGGCGAATGTCATAATCTTTCTCTTGTCACAGGCGAGCAGCTTGACTCTGCTGAACGCTAACGTGACAACGCTCACTACCGGCAGCTTACAATGCTAACTAAGCGCAGAGTTTAAGATTACAGTGTGATGTAATGATGTATGTCTAGCGCGACCTGTATCTGGGCGTGCATGAGCACAAACGCACCCAGCCATAGATCGACACACTATCGAAGCTAGCGGGTAAGCAACCGATCTGTTTGTCTACTCCAGAGGGTACTTCCGCACGAGGACGTGCAGCGAGCCAGCCAGGCAGACAGGCCTGCATTGGTAATCAAGCAAGGGAGAAACATACCCGTTCAGCTCGGCTACAAGAAGTGGACCCTGACCAACACAATTGTGTGAGCGCCGTGCAGCATTGCACAGCTTTAAGCAAATACCACAGTAACAACAACAGCAGCGCTTGTCGCGTTTGCTCGTTCTATTTTTCTTTGGCCTCTCTGTTTCCTTTAGGACCAACGGCGGTTGGACGGTGACGAACGTTAACAAGTCAGCCGGGCCACAAGCAAATAAACGAATAAGCGATCATCTGTCTACAAGACAACCTACCAATAGAGAGCTTCTGTCGAAACAGCCATAAACAGCAAGAGCAGACATAGACAGTAGCATTGAACAGTGCGTCGAGCTGCTGCGCGACTATGATTACTTACACTGGTGCTGCTATTGCTGTCGCCATCGTTGCCGCAATAACTATTCTATCAGTAACTGTTCCATCGGTCCATGCGTTTCTGTTCGACCAGTTGCCACCGGCACTGCTGCCGCCATCATACGGTCGCCTTCTTGTAGACCTTCGCTGACTGTTTTTCTCTATTCCGCCTGAAGCAGGCTAGACAGCGCAGACCACGACGACGACGACAACAGCAGCAGCATCAACAATAGCGATAGCGAAACAAGCGCTACTACGTTAAACAAAGCGCACTCACCACGAAACGCTGACTGGCAGGCGCTGCTCTCACAGCGGTGCTGACAGCGCCGACCGACCGACTGACGAACTGTATGCGTTAGCTGTACCGTAGTGCTGACGCTGATGCCACTACCCCTAGTACTACTATTACTAGTAGGCAAACGCCGGCGTCTACGCGCGTTTATTCGTTCCACTGCTGGCATCGCAGTGCCGCGCTACACGTACGTAGGACGCAACAGTTGCTGCTGCTGCTGCTGCTTCTGCTGAACTCCGCTTAGCTAAATCGGCGTATCGCATCGTCGTCTGATGGTGACGTCGCATCACATCGACAGCTACAGCGAGACACCACCATCAATACTAACAACAACAACGTTCTTGTGCTGCGAACAACGTTGCTTATTGCTCCCGCCGCTGGCGTTGCAGCTACGACGCTGGCGAACGCCAGCCCGACGCACGGCGGGCACCGGCGGACGAATCGAGCACCGACGACGAGACAACAATCGAGTGATGGGCAAGAGAATACGAACAAGCCAAGCGTTCAAGCCTCCTCTGATCACGGTGACGTCTGCGGCAATGGCGATGCCACCACCGTCGCTGTCGCCGCCGCCGCCGCCGCCGCCGCCGCCATCCCTTTTACCAGCGACGACGAGCGGCTAGTCGATGGGTCGGTCGCCCGCACGGCCGTCGCTCCGCTCGTGCATCCTTCTATCCGTCTCTATCGTTCGTTTCGTAGCCGGCACCGCTGCCGTCATCGGGACATCGAGGAGTAGAAGTCGCCCTCAATTCGATTACTTCGAAAGGCAGCCACCGAGGGCGCTCGTGTCAAACAGTATGGCAAGATGGCGGCCGCCTGTGCAGCAGCAGCAGCAGCGGCGGCGATGACGGCGGTCGCCTGTGCAGCAGCAGCGGCAGCAGCAGCAGCGGCGGCGGCAACGGCGGCCGTATAGTTTTGTTGTAGTCCGTGCAGTTCTACCGCCGACACAGACAGTTTATGGTGTTGATGATGCTGATGCTGCTCATGGAGATGATGATATGGTAGTACTATGACGGGATGATGTTTTTTAGCAGCGGCAGCAAAACAGTAGACAGGGAGCAGTGCAAGTGGTAAGCAGCAGCAGCAGCAGCAGCAACAACAGCAACAGCAGCAGCAGCAGCAGCGGGAGCAGAAGAACTCGCACTGTTGTCGTTGTTTTCTAGACGACGACTGAACCTTAGCAGAGACCTTAAGAGAAACATTAGCTACGGCAACCCAACACAGCAAAGTCTCTCTGTGTGTGTCCAACTGGCCGTGTGTCGCGGTGTGTTTGGCCTATTCGTGTGTGGCGCTTGCCTGGTTAGGTATCGAAGTGGAGTCGTCCTGCTGCTGCTGCTGCTCGCGGTTGTGCTCGTGGCAGTGCTGGCGGAGTGTGCAGTAGTAGTAGTAGTAGTAGCGGCAGCAGCAGAAGTAGCAGTTGGCAGAAGCTGGCATCGCCGTTGTTTCGAGTTGGCAGGCTGAGCAAAGCAATGCTCTCAGCACCGAAGAAGAGACTGTCGGGCGGATTACATACGATGGTAGTGGTGGTGGCAAATGCAGCAGCAGCAGTAGCCCCACTTACACTGCCCAGCCCAGTCGCACGAGCAGCAGCTGAAGCTTCTTTGCGTAAGGACTGCTGCATCGTTATTTGAGCGGGTTTCGTAAGAGTTTGTAGTAGCTCAAGTACAGAAGGCAAAGAAGGAGACAAAAAGCATATAGGACCAGGTCATCTGAAAAGCACCAACCACTGCAGAAACCCAAATGGAGGGCAATTACACAGGCAGTAATGAAGAGAGACGGGGAGTGTAAAGGAGTGCAATACAGAGAGTCTTCGGCTTGTTTGCTAGGTCAAGTCCGCCGCACGACCCGTTTGTGCGCGTGTGTGTGTGTATGTGTGCGTGAGAGTGTTATCTTTTTTTGTACGTGTTCTCGTGTGCGGGCGGTTTACCGACTGACCGATTACTGCTAACGACGACGACGACGACGGCGGCGGCGGTGGCGGTGGCGGCGGCTGATCGCTTGGTCCGTCGCTTACTCGTCCCACTGGGCGATTATTAGCTCTATTGATTATTTGAGTGTTGTCTGTGAGAGCGTTACAGAAGAACAGAAGGAAGAGTGTTATTTGGCGTCTAGTTGGGCCGCACTCTGAGAACTACAGGAGGAGCTGCATACATCCGGCGACGAGGATTCGGAACAGAGAGGACGAGGACAACGACGAGCACGATAACGTCCTTTTTCAGCAGTTTTTCCTAACTGCCTTTCGTCCTTCGAGTTCTACTCCACACACACATACACATGCCTACCGCCTATACAGTTTACTCGTAGGATTTTTGTGCAATCATATCTTAATGTTGTGCTTTTGGTTAGTTGATGCATTGGTGATTTGTTCGGCGTAACTGCTGATCGTTCTCGGATGCTGCTGCTGCCAATGCGTTGAAATGCTGTGATGCTATAACACTGCCCAGATGATAATCCCCTTCGCAATTCAATGACAACAATCTGTTGTCTGGCTTAAAGCAAAAATAAAGGAGAGTGCGGAATAAGCGTGTCTGTGTGTTTCTGGAGTTGGTAACGTGGTAGCACAATACAATACCACTAATAACTGCTGGAAACACTACCAGCTACTCAATGTTCGGGAAACAACAAGGAACCAAACACAGCAAAAAAACGCTATAGAGATACAGCTGGCTTCTAATCCAGAGAGAACAGTCGATTGGTCTGGAATTAGCTGCTGTACAAGAACAAGTAGCAGTAGCAGCAGCACGAGCGACGAACCCCCATTACTTGTTTCGCGTGTATGATTCGTCTCCGACTAGAAAAATTTCATCGGAGTTTGAATCGTTACCGCAGCATTAGCCTCAGCCGTGCTGTTAGCCTCAGCCTCGGTCGATTTGATGTGTCCTCTCAGCGCTCATTGTGGTGTGGTTTTACTCAAGTATTGGTTGACACAATTCCTCTGGATAGGTGTAAAGCGATAAGAGAAGTCGCTGACAACGACGATACAGCGGATTGTAAATACATGTGTAATGTGTTATGAGTACGAGTGTTATGCGCCTGCAAGAACAGAACGAAGACCTTGCCGAACGCTGAAGATCGAGGCTGTGCACCGATGCTGTTGTGAAAAGTACGAACGTGCACACTGTGACTGCAGGACAGGAAAAAATCAATGTAAAGAGATTACGGAAAAAGACCAAGCTACACAACAACGAGGAGCTTTTGAAATCAAAACGACCGCGACTCATCTGCATAACGACGTGGTCGTTAACGCCGGTAGAAAACAAACATCTATTGGCCTTAAGTGTTTCAGCTGATTCTCAGTCAGACGACTATAGCTTTGCCGTTAGGGGGCTAAGCAGGTTCTTGAGTTAACAAAAAAACAGAAGTCCAAAAGCAATTCTGAAAAGTTTCCAACCATCCAGTTTCGTTTCGGCGGGCGGCGGAACCTTGACAGCAAACCCATAAGAACGATAACAACGAGGACACGACCTGGAACATTAGTAAATTCAGAAAACTTGAACTGAAAAATTAGCAAAAGGTCGCAAACGCCGGCAAGCTAAAGACTATTGCTTGGAAAGTGCCGTTTCAGCATCCATCTATAAGCGTACACCTGCTAGCGCGCTGTTAATGTTGACTGCTACACAGCGACTTCTCCAACGATTACCACAGCACTCACGGCAAGCTGCCGACCCTTGTAGGGATTGTTTTTGTCGCTGAGACGCCGAATCGACGTCCCCAACCACGTCGGCTCTATCCTGGACCACCTGGTCGTTGTCGTCGCTATTGTCGATCGAGATTCGTCCACCGAAGCCTCGATCGGCCTCACCCGGGCTCGCCGGCACCTGCCCAGAACGAACGACCCTGGCCCCGAGAGTTGAGGGCCCGGCCTGTGGCCAGGGCCGGCACTTGCCTCTACTTCCATGGAGGGTGAGTACCGTGACAGTATAATAAACGTAGTATTTTTGTACCATTCTTCTAGTTAAAATGTTACAACAAGAAATGTTACGTCGGGTATGAGTGTCGCTACGTCGATGCAGGACAGAAAGTACAGATCGGCCGGTCAGGCGAAAGAGACCTGCAGTAGCAGCTAATCGGACACGATAGCTGGCTGGTACAGGTGTTGCATGTGTTCGTAGCTCTGCTGCTGGGAATAATTCTCGGATCTGTGTTGATGTTGGGGGGTTACAATGCAAATATATAGGGATTATTGGGTGGTTGATATTAATTTGGTGAACGTAGTATGACGATTCTGCAAATAAAAGCAGCGTCCTCGTGCCATAAAGTGTCAAACAGAGGACGGAAAAGAGATGATTTAGAAGTGTGAAGCGTCTTCCTGAACTTTTCCTATTGAAGGGTGACGAAACCTAGGAGGTATCAGGGTCGGCTACCCCGTTGAAGCGCGGTGAGTCTGGCTGAAATTTGGTTGTGGGAAACCTAAACAAAACCTCTGATGAATCATGATGCCATGTGGCCTTAATTTGGTTTTTCACCTTAACAGCACGGCGACTCAATGGGTAATGTCCTTTCGACAGTGTCAGCTATAGTAGCAGTAACATTCACAGCGTAACAGCCGTGTAATGCGTTGGTCTGACAGAAAATGAAAATACGCGAGACTTCTATCATTTGCGCGAAATATTTAAACTGATGCCGCAACAGAATTGTAATTAGTACCGTTTCCTTGCCAGGTGTTTATTTCATTTCAATGGCAATTAGAGAAAAATTATACCGTGAGGATTCCGTTAACGCTGTTAAAACTGTGTGTTTCCAAAATTGAGTTGTGTTCTTCTCAACCATTTTATCTTGCCTTAAAGGTTGACAAGTTTTTCCAATTTATCACTGTATGATTAGGGCATCACTTATATAACAGTCTGCGTATTTGCATAGAAACGTTCATGTGTGGCAATCTAATACTAACACGATATAGCAACCCTTCCCGTAATATTCTTAGCACGCAAGATTCTACAATGCCAGACCCCCCGTCTGTGTCAATGTGCACTCGCTATCAACACATAGAGACTAACACAGCAGCAGAAAGGCCGCCGTTGCTTGTTCCAGTTGCAGTGCGTTGGCATTTAAGGATGTGTTGTGCCCACTCCCTCACCGGTCTGCATTGACCTGCTGCGAGTAATGCTTGTCTATGAATACAGCCGGTTTTACCGTCTACTCGTCGTGCCCCCGACTCTTTTACGTCGGCTTCTGGCTTTCAGTTTCCTTTACTTTTTTGTTGTTGTGCCATACGGACGCGTTTTGCTAGCGACGTCTTTGCCTTCTAATTAGAACATGGCCACTCAGTGGCTGGTGACATCCACGAACACTCACACACACACACACGCGCAAACATACACGGACAAATGCGTCAAACAACAGTAGGAGTAGCTGCTACTGTTATTTAGTCCATACCTTCCGTGGACCTTCGTGTTAGTCAATGTGAATACCGTCATACAATGCAATTGTGTGTAATTGCTTAATAAAACCAGAAAATTGTCAGCCTATATTTGGGTGTGCGGCCTGTCACTGTTTCCTTGCTGTGGTTCGTATCATAGATATTTGAGATACTACAAAAATTCTTAGCTCGGGGGTATCGGCGTCATTTAATGCAGTAGAACAAAACCGACTTGGGCCGACTCTATGGCAATTGGATGCAGTTTTTTCAGCTGTTGCGCGACTATCGCAGTCAGGAGACAGAAATGGCGGTTTGCTCAAAGCAGACAACGACATGATCTTGTAGTCGTCACTTGAGTGGCGGGATGACAAATTCATTTTTTAAGTTTGCGCCTACCTACCTACCTACCTACCTGCGTGCGTGCGTGCGTGCATGTGTCTGGCTTCCTGTTTGTGTTCACTCGCTTGTAGCGTCCATGTTCATAGCGTTTATCTGAAGTATAGCAGTAGCAAATCGTGTACATGATTCGAGGTATCGACAAAGTGTAGACAACTAACATTTCATGGCGTCCCATTTAAGTCTGCTAATGTAATATCAATTGAAATCGTAGTCATCGTTTGTTTTGTTACGATAGCTGCTTGGCTAAGTACCATTATGGAAACGATAGTAGCGGCAGAACGATCTCTGAGAATACGGAAATCCTGCAATCAGCGTCAACTTAAATAACAGTTGTAGTGCAGAATTCGAGATACTAGAGTCGGTATTCGATTCGTCTGTGCTGTTATTTGCTGCAATCCTTCTTTCTGCTATTTCCTTCTTCTGTATTCCTTCAGCGAATTGGTGTCATTGTTATTACTGCAGCGTTTGTTACTGGCTGGAGTGACAGCGCTTGTGTTGGCAATGCTGCTAGTGGTGCTCGGTGCGACATCATCTTCATAGTATAACGTGCTGTGTGGTGAGCTCTGTGCTGCTTCATCTGTCTCGATTCGTTATGTTATGTCGTGCTTATTTGCTATATGCTGCGGTATCGGTGTAAAGTCAGCAACAGCCGGAGGATTGGTCGGTGGCAGTTGTTGACGAGGTCACTTTTGGCGCTGTTGGCAGCAGCAGCAGCAGCTTGTGCTTTCCGTCCTGCTGCTGCCGTCGTCACCGCCACCACCGCCGCCGCCGCTGCTGCTACTACTGCTGACGATGGTAGTCGTAGTAATAATGCATGCGTGGTGAGCGGCGCCGTGCCGCGCCTTGCACTGGCGTGTGTGTTTGTTGTGGTCGAGTTCCTTGACCCGGAGAGAGAGAGAGAGAGAGAGAGAGAGAGAGATCGGCGAGCCCGCCAGAACACTCGCACGCTAGGAGACGACAACACCGTCGCCGCCGCCACTACCACGACCACCATCACCATCACTACCACCAGCACCACCACCACGACGACGGCGGCGACAACGTCCACTGCAACAACGGCGGCGGCGGCCGCCGCCGCTACCGCTGAACCCAGACATACGCATAGACACAACCAGTCACCATCAGTACGATTACTGCCGCGGTAAATACCTAACGGCTGCAGCGGTGATGTCAGTAAAGAAGGAGAAAAACAGCCAGAATAGCGAATTGCAGCGAACAGCGACGTGCCATCGAGCCAAACAGACAGACAGCGCAACGCCCCAAGTTGCCGCCGTCCACTGCTCTCGTCAGCTCTTGCGGGCGCTGCTGCGTTCACAGACAAGAGACAGACAGACAGACAGACAGACAGACAGACGACATACACTCACCAACATGCGGAGCAATGGACCCACTTACGTCGATAGGCCGAAACAAAACGCGCTCGCACACATACACGCGAAGACACAGCCAGGCAGTTAGGCGGAACACCAAAACGACGAGCTTGTAAGAGTTAGTTGCGATGGCAGCGCAGCCGATTATGACGAACGACGGAAACAGCCACTGATCGATGCCAGCCATGCTTGCCGTCAGCCTGAAATCGATGGTGCTGCCACATACACAGTTAACAGCAACAGCAGCAGCAGTCGCCAGTGGTTCACCCTCACGCAGCTGCTCACACAGAAATACCGTATCAGCGATAATATAGCGATTCTCCGCGCTATTGTACGTGAACGAACGAGCGGGCAAGAAGGCGAGCCTTCCGTGGGAAATTTACATAGTAGTAGGCAGAGCGGTTATTCAGACGCCAATAAACCGACATTCAGACAGCTCAGCCACGCACGTTTATGCAGCGCTCATACAACGAGCGACAGTGCTGGCAGGTGCAGCGACGGCGGCAGGGACGACGAATGGACTGTCCTGTGCAGAGGTACACAGGAAGGTAGAGGCCATCCTAGGGACCTGCAACGGTCTCCTGCGCCCAGCGCACCGCATCGAGCAGTTGCACCACACAGTACAATGCAATAACAGTACTGCAAACGCGGCCTTCGATGGCAGACTTCTAACAGCAGTAACGTTTGTATCTCAAAATAAGAGATTCATGTTTGTATCATATCCTTTCCATCCGTGTGTGGCAGCCTATGTAGGTTTGTGTTAAAGGTCTGAGGGAAGATGGCTCGCAAATATTGTAGTTAAACCTATTATGAAATTAATGGCGTTTGTATAAAATAGCTCTATACAAATTACGTGTTTACTCCGTACAAACGAACAAATAGTGATTTAGTATACATTTGCATAGGATCCGGTTCAAGTGCAAAACGCGCGAAAACACCTGTTTCCAACAAGAAAAACTTTACCCATGGATGACATACACCGGTGGTTCGTGGTCACACGTAATGGTTAACACTTACGTCATACCTTCATAGAAATTTAAAAGGATTCATAAAAGGATATGGCATATGCGTACCCATATCCTTTCATTACCCAAAATATTTCATCGGGTCTAATAGAGCTGAATGAAATAGCTCCAGCAAAAAAGGCTATTCTCTATTTCTATTTGCAGCAAATAAGCAGTGATGTTGTTCCTCACTAAGCCTTTTGTGCGCGTCCTTGTACTACGAGTGCATGTGCAGGTGACTTAGAGGTTATTGCGGGGAAGCAGTAGTAGTTGCAGGGGTCTGTAGTGTCGAGCTCGGAGCGAAGAAGTCTAGGGTAGCCTGATGGAGAAAAGTCAACGACATAACATAGCATAAAAAAAAACACCTTAATTTTATCCTTTTTGAACGATGTGAGCTTCAAAAAATGCCGTAGAACGTCAGACATAAATTTAAAGAGATGGTGAAAGGTTAAGATAGTACTTGATCGTCGTACATGTCGCCGCCCCCAAGAATTCTCTACGTCAATGGAAAAATGCCGCCTGGCGCGCGCGTTGCCAATATTGTAAAATTATAGTAATGACATTGTACAGCGCTACGCTCACACAATGCTTAAAACATGCCTCCCATATATACATAGTGTACTATAGATATGTAATGAGAATATTGATAAAGATGCGGGCGAGCCTGATTAAGCTCGCGGGAAGGTATAAAGAGGCAAGAAAAGCCTGTTATATTATGAAGCTAAAACGGACTGCGGTATCTCAAGAGGAAAATGAAATGAGGAGAAATCTGTGTTTTTGTTGTTGTCTTTGGTTTCCTCTTTGTCAGCGAAAAGAAAGCATAAAGATAGTTAGTACGCGATTCTAAAATTTCGTGATTTTTCCGGGCAATGTAGGTCAGTTTTAGTGTAAGGAAACGTTTAAACCTATAGCTTTCTGACCACCTATATAGGCCGGCTATACAGAATTGCCGTTCTTACTCGTGATGCACTTGTTAGCCTGGTAGTCCTCTGTCGATGTTCCATAGGCTTTTTGCCAAATGTTTGTACGTGCTATGACGCCTCTCGAGGTATGCAGAAAACAGGCAGCCTATTATAGGCTATGGTAGCCTATGGAGAACAGTCTGAGAGAATAGCATTCATGTAGATATTTCCAAAGCCATCGCTCGCAACAGAGATCCGTCCGGGGCTGCCGAGTCCCGGATGCCCTGACAACCGCTCAAAAGGGTGGAGCTGAATTACAACAGCACGAGTTGCTGCTTTGCTGGTTAGCGTTGGTCCACGCCAGTATTACGCGGAGGGTGTACAAGTATTGACTGAGGATGTGCACGATAATAAGCGTACAGACCGGCAAAAAAAAAAGATCTATCTCATTAGAACCTTCTGCACTCCAATGATGTCCATATGTTGCCAGTGGTGGGGTTGCTAATAATGATTGTGTCAGTGATTATGATGGAAAGACGTTTAATTGAGTAGATAATCGTCGTGTATAGAGGTCAAAGGGCTTTTTTTAATATAGATGGGCAGGTAAATTCGATTGAAAGTGCAGATTTATTGATATTGTGGGAACTGGCGTGTCGATACGCCTGGAAGGTGTATCGACAGCGTTTTAATTTGACGAAGCATGGCCTTTGCAAAATCTTCTTGTTCGATCATGATTTTAGTGACCTCTAGAGATTTCAAGTTCGATGCACACCTTCATTAGGCCAGCGTTCGGTCTCTTAGACTCCTAACGATGGATCACCAAATTGAGCTTCACTTCGTTGATGTACAAGGAAATACTAGCAAAGTCACTCATAAAAATATGTGAGCTAATGGTAATAAAAAAAGGCGCGTTTTCTACGGAGTCCTAACGTCACTGCGCGAAAATCGTGATTAGGAACTTCAAAAGGCTGCCATTTTCAACAATGCCATATTGCCAGCGATTGGTGTGAACAAATCATCCATCAAACAGGGCAAACAGTTACTATCTATGCTAATTGCTTGAACAGCAAATTTGTGCCGTAACTATCGTTTCTCGAGTGTTTTCGTCATACTGATACCCTATACATATGCTAATTAAATATGTATATTTCTATATATCCATATTAGTATTCGATGTTTACGTAAACCTGTTTATTTAAGCTTGTATTGATGCCCCGAATGTCAACGAACAGTTCCGCCGACGTGTCAAAATGCCGCCGTTCAGTTAAAAAATTCTGACTAAAAAACGCCGACCCACGTTCGCTATTGGGCCATCATAAAGCATGCCATTCAATTGAGAATCAGCTTCTAGTCGCTTTTCTACCCCACGAGCGGTGCCAACAGAAACCGGGATCTAACCAGCGTCGAAAAGAAACTGCGCACTTGCTTCCGCAGTGAAGTCGCCCGCAATTTCTACAGGACAATGATGATGACGCCAGTCAATATGGTGACACTATCTACGTTATCACTCTGTTTACTTATGGTTGTTATATCGAATATTAACCCAAGACGATACAATGTGTTTAGTAATTGCGTGTTAACGATATCACGATGGCGTCAACGGGCCTCGATATTGTGTGGCCGTATTCAAACATCACTTAGAATAATGAATAACTCAACCGTTGTTACTGTATTTTATCCTACAAGCGCATGCTATAAGCGCGTAGATAAAAAGTATTGACAGTATATAGTAGCAATAAATATTATTAAAGATATAAGGAATAAAGCATCTATTATTGGCCTTGATAACTGGCGAAATGTATTTGATCGTACCTCTGTTCGAATAGAATAGTTTTATTATTTGCTTTGCCGTTTTACTCGTTTGTTCCTAACGAAACGTTCATATGTGTACCGAGAATTCTCCATAGATGTCAGCCGCCGTAGGAGCTAACTAAAGTTGGCTGAGTGCAATCTCTTCTAACGGCATTCATGTCATCGTGAGCCGTCTCGCAAACATACTACACGTATCCATGCATGACAAAGTTCTCCCACCAACAGGATGTCCATTTCGAGGTCGCTTGGGTTATCAGAATCGATAACTCGTCGACTCATAGTACGGAACTGAAAAATCCGTTTTTTTCTTTACAAAGTTCCCTTAATAAAGTTTCCTCGTCTTTCTCTAATATCGACCACTTTTTCAAAAAATTACCGTATAAGTGTTATTTACGAAAATCAGGCCTTATCAGTAGACGTTTGCCGCGGTGCTGTTGCGCAACATGTTTACAAGGAATTTTTACAAATCTAAATTGCATACCTTCTTCTTCGCTTTTAGGCCTGCTTCAGGACTGGTTTTAATACAAGTTCGACTCCCGAATAAGCCATTCCAAACCAGTAGAATGACGTCCAGCCTGTTCATTTGGTCCCATGACCCCGACCAAATGGAACGCGTAATCCAAAGGTGGAAACCACATATCGAGATATTCTATACGCGTCGTGGACCACTTGCGTTTTTTGCGGCAAGCAGCGTCTTTAAATAACCTCACAGTTCATGGGTATCATTGGTATAATCGAAAACACAAATATGGCTGTCGAATCGTTGTCGTGAGCATATGCATGAACAACTTTCATAAGAGCCTCTTTGTGGTGGTTGGCAGACAGCAGTTGTAATTCGTTCGCCATTCCAGAAAGGGGCCTGCAGGAGTTAGTCGTCGTTAGAAACTCTGTCGTTCATGCGGGTGGGAAGTAATCGGCCATAACAGGGTCTTGCGCATCTGCAATAGTTAGATCTTGTCAAGAAGTTATATCTTTTGAAATGTAGTTTGAGGCGAGATGAATGATCCCGTATCTTCTAAACTGCTTATACGAAACTCGTAGCCGTTCTATGATTGTTCAGATGCAGGACCTAAATGGTGATTATTATATAGGGTATGAGAGGGGCTGCCTATTGTGACTAAACTAAGAAACAGATCTATGCAGTAGTATAGCAGGAACTTGTGCTTTTTATTCGGAGCGCGCGAGTCGCATCATCTCGAACGCAAGTATCTTTTATAGTGCTTTTCTCATTCACAAAAAAAGGGTTGAAGCGGAGTTTGGTCGTCAAATATCTTCAATGTGTGACAGAGTACACGGAAGCTGCAGATTTAATCTATCATCTGCAATTCAGATGCTGAGTAGATTAACAAATTTAGAGTGTGAACTTCGTGTTGAAATAGCTGCATGTCGAGTGATTCTAAATGGAATCGAGAGCATTTAGTGCTCGATTTTTGGACTACAACACCCTACAAAAGCAATGTAAGATAGCTCAAACAATTCGCTTTCTCCAACGATAGTGACAATCACTGTTTAGTAGCAACAGTTACATTTACAATGACTACGCGCATTTTTATTTATTAGAGCCCTCTTTACGGATTAGCTCTAAAGAAGTGTTTCATTAGATCATATTAAAAAAGGTCATCAGCTATTTTGAACCTGTAGGCTTAACCCGCTATCGTTTACCTTAGAATGTGTATAAGCTAAATTAACGGGCATTGCGTAAACAGCGTTGTGAGTTACTTGTTGAATACGTTTTTGTGAATTTGGCTTTTGTGCAAAACCGATAATCAACGTTGATGCATAGCCGAGCGTGGTCCATCTTCGTCAACGCAGACATCCGTCCTTGCCAGGGTCATCATGTACAAAACCTATAGAGGTAGACTCACTGAGTATCATATTAAACACAACGCGAGTTAATATGGGTAAAAATGGTGTATTTTAATGAAAAAAGATCCTTTGTGTGTTCAAAAATCCTGTTCGCGTATTCAAATAGTTTTAGTCGAAAGACGTCTTCAACTAGTGCGTAATGACACAGAGGGTACCAACCAACTTCTTCGAACTACATGTGAGGAATGAACATCAATCAATCATGTGATGGCTTAAGTAAATAAAGAGATAACCTGTATATGAAGGGTCTGCTTAAAAGTATTTTGTTTATTTTGGACTTTTGATTTTCTAAGAAGTACTTGAATAGCTTAGAAAACTCGAAGTACAGTTACCCCAGACAAATTAAGACTAAAACGAAAACGCAAGACATTAATAAGGATAGGCCTTTCCCAGGAACGTAAACCCATGTAAGTTTATGGTGACATTTGCCAAACGTATGTCTGCTAACGATTCTAGCACAAAAAAATCCGTTCAGTGTAGCCTAAGAGGATTTGTTTCTTTGCACCAAATTATTTCATAACGTATAACTCTCCGGAGCGCAGTATGCATTCCTACTAGTATTATTCAACGAAGTTTTCATCATCACCACAGAAAAGTTTGGAACGAAACTATTCTCACGTGGAAATTTGCGCATGTCCGCCACATCGTGTGGTAGAATATACGTATCCGTTACTATCTCAAAATTGTGCAATTTTCGACCTCGTTTTGGTAATAGAGAAAAATGATCGTTTCTGCGAGCGAAGTCGGGCAGTTCGTAACTCTTCGTACACGGCAATCGACAATCATCACGTTTCCTAAACAAGTTGATCGAACTGAAAAAGTTGAACGATCATTATGCAATGGGAATTCGTATTCAGCGACCTAAGGGGATGTTGTGTGTCATAAATGCTATCTGATGATCGGCTGACGTGCGCAGACCGTGTAACACTGTAAAGCTTTGCGTAGTAACTTCAGTGAAGGTTCAGACAGCATCAACACTACTATTGTCAGTAGTAGTGGTGGTAGTAATCGTCTATACCGAAGAAGATCATTCACATTTTGGGGAAGCAAACATCAAAATATACAATTTCTGTATATAACCACAGAATGGCAAAAAAATTAGATTTGTTTTTAACAAATTTTTCTCACTACTGTAATTGTTGTTCTGTTCTCTTTTTACTGTTGTTGCCCCTTTACAGTGAGTGCAGAGTTGAGCGTTAGCCAAGGCGGAGACGTTAGTAGCGGGGGCTTTTTCGGGCTTTCGGCGGGCGAATTCGGCGATGACTCGTTGGAACAACAGGCAGCATCAACGGTGGCCGGTAACCACCGAAAGTCACCGATCGATGCTGATGGCACGTCGTCGGCGACACCTCCTCCTGGCGGCGGGGGTGGAGGGACCCCCGTTCAGCCAAGCTCAAATACGATCAACCCGCGGCAGCAGCAGGAGCTGTGTCTCGTCTGCGGGGATCGTGCATCTGGTTATCATTACAACGCTTTGACCTGCGAAGGGTTAGTATTTTGTTATTCGCTCTTTGTCCGCCTGTTGTCATCGATTTGGTTGTTTTTTTTTCGCTTTCAAATGCCGATTAATATTTCTGTGCCAATCAACATCGTATTCACGACCCCATTTCGAATGTTTCGATGATATAAGGATGTCAAGAAAAGAAATGACGCTAGAATATAAATGCATGAAATATTTAGTATGTGTTTAGGATTGTTCCATGTAGTAATGAAAGTGCTAAGTATACAGTGGATACAGTATGTGTAGCTAACACTTACCTCATAACTGCCATAGACTGGATTTTTTTTAGGAACATTTACTTAACATTTTGCTCTGTTTAGAAGTGCTTGCATAGGTTTTCAATTTGATAGGGTTAAAGGCTGTATTTGATGATTGCTATCCCAATTAAGCAAACTCTACGTTTTTCTTCCAATTCCTGCTGTAATTTCAGTTTGATGTAACCTAGAATTGATATCCGTGTGATTGCTTTGGTTCTTGGTTGTTGCAGGTGCAAAGGGTTTTTCCGGAGATCAATTACGAAGAACGCCGTTTACCAGTGCAAATATGGCAATCGCTGCGATATCGACATGTACATGAGGAGGAAGTGCCAGGAATGTCGACTCAAGAAGTGCTTGGTCGTCGGCATGCGACCCGAGTGCGTCGTGCCCGAATACCAGTGCGCGATGAAACGAGAAAGCAAAAAGCAAGTACCCCAACAGCCGACGGCGCAAGTGTCCTCACCTGCCATCATTAATCAGCCTCAACGCAACGGGGATGGCAGCAATGGGTCGAATGGTGCCTCTAGTCAGCCACAGGCAATTATCGATGAAGTGGCTGACGAAAAGCCCAATATCATGGCGCTTAATATGGCCGTAAGACAGGTACGTAAGCTGGTAGAATAAAACTAACTATCGCCTACATTTGTTGTAAATAGTAGTTAGGTCCTGTAGCCGTAGCTGTTAGCGTAACCTTCGGCCTGATGATGCGTGAAGTGACCGCGTCTGATATGTGCCGAATCCATATCGAATACAGTATCATAACATACTGTCAATCCTAAGCAACTGACCAAAAAATAGATATACTTCTCTGTGAAATATGAGGGTCTTATAGAGAACGAGGACAACCGCAGGTACGCTTATTCGTTCTTGCAAGTGGCCTGATATAGAAGCGGAATTCGTTCGCCTAAACAATAAGTCTCTTATATGTGCCGTTGAACACTGTGCAAAGAAAATGGCCTAATTGGATAAATAGGCTGCCAATTATACTGAACAAAGTTTTGATATTCTCTTTTTTGTACAGGTGAAACCTTTAACACAAGACCAAGAGCAGTTGATCAACAAATTGGTATATTATCAACAGGAGTTCGAATCACCTTCAGAAGAGGACATTAAAAAGATTACCCCATTTCCCTTGGGCGATTCCGAAGAAGATAATGAGAGACGGTTTCAGCATATTACTGAGATCACCATTCTGACGGTGCAGCTTATTGTCGAGTTTAGTAAAAGGGTGCCAGGCTTTGATACGTTACTCCGAGAGGACCAAATCACGCTTCTCAAGGTAAGGAGCTTCCGATCCCAGCATTCAAGTAAACAGAATCGCAGCATTGGCTTGCTGTACAAAAACAAATAGACTGAATAGATGAATAAGTATTACATTATCGTACGCAGTAGCTTTTAGCGAGTAGTGATTGTGAGATAGTGGTGATCTCCTGCTGAAAGAGGAAACAACGAGTTAACTGTCTAACCTATTTTCATGACCCCTTCTTACTGTGTCATAGGCATGCTCTAGCGAGATCATGATGTTACGCAGTGCACGAAAATACGACGTTCGAACGGACTCAATTGTGTTCGCCAATAACCAGCCGTACACAAGAGAGAATTACAAGAGTGCGTCGGTAGGTGACTCTGCCGATGCCCAATTTCACTTCTGTCGGAGTATGTGCAACCTTCGCGTGGACAATGCTGAATACGCTCTGCTAACGGCTATTGTGATTTTCTCAGGTTGGTACCTGCCATACACCTATTAGGCTACTCGGTAGGCTCAGGCTGGTCCTAAAAAAAAAAGTACATACACAATGTGTGGTGTGATCAATAGATAATACTACAGTTTGGAAATAAGAATCACTGGTAAACGTCTCACTGTGCTATAGACTTCTTCGTAATTGTAGTTATGTCAACGAACGTAAGCCATCATTTAAAACTCCAACCTCATCAACTCGAAAAACTTAAGTAGTCGTCATTTGGTATCGTGATCATGGTCGTCTAACAGAAACGTATGGAATAAGATATTATAGACGCTAATTACTGTTACGCGTGTTTTCCTTGTGTATCTGTCTGCATTATATAATTTATCACCATTGAATTTGAACATTTCAGAGCGGCCTTCGCTACTCGAGCCCGAAAAAGTGGAAAGAATCCAAGAGTTCTACATTGATACATTACGTACCTATTCAGAGAATCATCGACCGCCTGGCCGAACGTACTTCGCATGTTTGCTGTCGATTTTAACAGAGCTGCGTACACTGGGTAACATGAACGCGGAGATGTGCTTCCAGCTCAAAGTGCAAAATAAGAAGCTGCCGCCTTTCCTTGCAGAGATCTGGGATATTCAAGGGTAGGATGGTTGTATGACGCTATATGGGTACATGGATAACTGAAGCTGAGATGGATATCATGTTATGATTGCAATACACAAAAGTCATTTGATAAAAGAAAGATGAAGATGACGTCAACGAGCAATTTTTCCGTCAAGCTGGAAAGCGAAGTGAAGCAGGAACGGGTAAAGAAGAAAACAAGATTAAAACACTCGACCATTGCCGGCGTGAGCTGCCGAATTCTAGGATAGGAAGTTGATGTGAGAAGAAAGTAGTGAACGCTGAAGGCGGACAGCATGTAAGAAGATATCATAGACAGATAGAGATAAGCACATAGAATACAATAACAAATGGTCAACAAAAAAACGACGTTCATCTCAGCCCTTTCGCACTGTATTGTACTGTATAAACAAGCGCCCGTCCAAACCTGTGGCAAACGTTCTTTACTTTAAAGTGATGGTGTGCCCATGTCCAGCCAACAGGGAGCCGACCAACGGGTCCGCGTAGATATTTAGAGTCGGAAGAACGAAAGAAAAACACCGATGGAATGAAAACGTAGAAGTGAAATGTACGGAATGTTTTTATTTAGTAATGCTATTAAAATGATCGTAATAAACATCAAATATGTAGATATACAACAGCAAACAGTGCAGAGTATGTAACCCCGATACTAATCATAAGATGCTACGACGACGACGATGATGGCGAACAGATTTAGCCGGAGACAATTTAGAATGAGCTGGAACGACACGCAACTCCAACGGGCAGTAGATCACAATGCAGTCCCATACACTGCGGCGTGTGTTTGCTAACCAATCGATCCGTATTAACGATAACGACAATAAATATACTTTTGTGTCATTCTATGAACCGCAAAAACATAAATCAGGTGCAGCGATTTGCCAATAGCCTTGGACGATCAGCACTCAGCCGCAATCGGTGAAAATGGTAAATTCTCATTCTGGTTTGTGGCCTTACGTTTAGGCTCAGGATGGAGTAGGTGCCGAGTGCGATTAAAAAATAGGAAATAAAGCAACGGATTTAACTCAGTTAGCTATCTGACGACAGTGAACCTGAGAAGATTTGGGTGACCGATTGATTCAAAGCTAGGTCATACCAGAAAAACAGACGCTATATGTATATATACATCGAGAAGCCGCTCAGCATGCCCAGCCCTTGATTCCGTGCTTAATGTGCTTGCCATCGGTCATTTACGCGTCGCAGTTGAAGCAGATCAATAATAGAGACGATTTCCAGCTCGTGGTTATTGCCGGATCCGGTAGGTTTTTTAGTTGACGGAAATCGACTGTGCTTTGAACGTGCGAACCGGCTTCTGATTGTTGTGCATATCGACGTATTTCATGAGGTTTTAGAACGGTTGTGTTGTTATCACAAGTGCGGAATCTCTGGCTGGGTAACACACTCCGAGATCAGTGGAACGCGCGCCCTGGTGTCTAACGTATAAAAGAACATGTAAAAATCTGTGGTTAGTTAAATACTGTGACAAAATGATATTAGTTTTCCTCCCGAGATCGAGGGCGGTCTCTGACCATCGGTTGACTCTCGGGCTTCGAAATCGTACGTTAATCGATACTTCAGCAATATTTGTGGAACCAATAGGCCCGTGTCCGGTATATTCACATGGTTTTGGGATCAGAGTTAACACATCAATTTCAAGCTTCGACATCCGAGGTTCAGTAGGCGCTGTAAGGTCAGCCGGCCATCGGCTGGTATCTATCGTACGGAACTACGCGGATGATATTGGCCTCTAGCCGATGTCAACACGACGAACATGCATCAAAAACAGATCTTATTGCTGGACAGTTAAGCACTGTCGGCCGTAACACACACACACACACACATTAAAATATGAAAAAACAAAGGTCACTTACATAGATTTGCGCGTGAACTAGGACATGCGCAGTTGGTTCGATTACGCTGAAGACGCAATGAAAGCTTTTAATGAAAACTGGAATCATTGCATAATACGTGAGATGCTTAAGAATATAGCCGTTGCGAAGGACTAAAATGTATGTACATATAAGATAATATATTAGACCTAGTGGAACAACAACAACATTTATTGTAAAGCGCTTCTGTCACGATAGAAAGGAGCCCACTTAATAATCCCACAAAAAGCATAAATTATATAAGCGTGACATTCTGCCCCAATCTCGACATCATTTTTTAAAGCGCTGAAAATGCCAGGTGCCTACCGATTTGAATGCCACTAATTGTACTGTCCGTACTAGTGAGAGTAGTGGCAATAAAGGTGGTAAAAGGGGAATACGTACTGGAATATGTATGCCCACTGGATAACAGCATACGCACTAAGCAAAACTTAGACCGAAGCTTGACCCTGACAGCTGCCAGGAGATCCGTGAACGCTAATAAAAATACCACAGCAGAATTTGCTTGTACACAAACTGATTATTAAGCATATTATATTTCTGGAAATCTGCGTTCAAGATTTTCTTCAGAAGGCCGGTCGGGCTTTTATTACAAACTATAAAAGCCGGTGACGGACGCTGATCAGGACTTGAAGTCAGATTCCGTGATGATAATGACAAGGATGACAAACTTGACAGTATCGGTGCCTGTTTATTATAACCAATTGCGATGAACTAGCGATTAGCCACCGGGGCAAGCTTTCCTAAACAGTTACATGCGTATAATGCTTACACGCCTACGTAATACGCAACATAAAGCGAGAAGTGTCTATTAGACAAACAAACGTAGAAAAACTTGACAGAAGGATAGAGATCTTCATTAAGCATGTCATCAAGGATGCCTGCAAAATATATAGAACTAAAACTTAATATAGCCTACCCAATGCCACCACCCGCTGCTGCTAACTATTCTAGAACACTGGCACAGGAACAATAAATGGAAAGGGCTCGATGTACATATATACATATACAGCACAGATGCCCATTCAAAGAATTGTGTGAGACATATAACGGGAAGACGAAAAACTGATCGAATAATGATCAGGTAGACAGAGCGAAAAACAAAGTTATTCTGAACGCGATTTGCAAAGCAAGGAAATCGGACAGAAAAAAAAGTGCGTGTGTAAGCGAAGGCGGCAAGCAAATGGACCACAGGCACACCTTAATACTGAATATAGCGAATGCTGTATAATTCATATAAGACAGGAACAACTGTCTACATTACAGCCAGTAAGAGAACACGGTCAAGATATAGAACGTAAGAAAGACAGAGTGCAGTGATGGTTCTGCGTATTATACGAAATGGGTTTTGAGCGTTGTCTGGGGGGGGGGGGGGTAGTTTTGGGTCTATTCTCCGAGAATCTTATGCAAGTTGGTTAGTGTGGTGTAAAAGCTAAGAATGCGCAGAAGGACAAAATAATACTGGAAAGGGTTGAAGCATGACAAACTTCGCGTGTCAATAACCACACACACACAATATATAGCAGAAGTAGTCTTCTATATAGATAGACTGCAATATGATAGAGGAAGCAGGCTGAACTGATAGCAGAAAAGGGATATAAACGAACAGAACATATAAAGGGGAGCCGAAACAAAGATAAAACAACGATTAGAAAAATTACTATTTATAGTTGCTCTGAAAGCCCATCACCATACGGTAATGTCACCAGTACCTTGATGTAAAACAGTGAACAAACGTACGAAAGAAGGGCCTTTCTCCTTCCTTATATATATATATATAAAAAGGGGAGAGGGAGGGAGCGAGGGAGAGTTGCCTGCCTGTTAAACTGTTAATAAATGTTTAAGAATCGATTTAGATTGAAGGGGTGAAATAGATCTGGGGAAATGCGTGCACTTAACGAATGTGTCGATAATAGCGTAGAGAAAAAAAGAAAACAGAATCCATGTCATAGCGAAAGCACAAAGCAAAAGGACAGGAAGGACTGTATGAAAGCACCTTACGTCCCTAAGAAGGGCCTTGCCCAAGTTCCGATGCTAGATCCTGCACTGCCAGCGAACTGCTGATACTTAAAAACTTCATGTCAGTTAAGTTCGGCTAAACGATGTTACTGCACCTTTTTGACAACAACTCTGAGGATTAAAAAAATTACTTCTAGAAGGATTGTATTTAGAAGTGTACGTTGCGATATGTCGCAGGTGACCGTACACGAAATGTAACTTGTATTACAATATACGATGGTGATTATGATGATGAAGAGAATGATGACCATAATGAGTGAAGATTTTGAGATAAAAGGATGGCTTAAATTGCTTTTCTGAGTGACATTAAACGGTCAGTGGCTGTCCGATATGATGTAAAGATAGCCAGCGCATTGCAAAATTTTTCCCGAAAAGTAAACTGAAACAATGACGATTCTGTCAGCTGCATCCACCTGCATCAGCACTAATACAGAAATTTTCTAAGGCTATAGTCGACTGATAACGCACAGGGGAGTGGGCCCTTTCACACAGGCGACGATGGGTGCCAATGGCTTAGAAGACGGCGATTATTACTATAGTGAATGACTTTACTACGATTATTACTAATTGTTGTTGTATCATTATGAATTTGCTGCTGTTGCTACAACCAGCGCCGCCTGGTGGTTCTTCCCATTCTGGCTGCGGACTATTTGGGACTTGTTCACCTGCCTAGTTCGAGTTGTTGAACATCTCGTTGGTGACTTGCTTTCATGGCATGTCGAGCGATTCACGTAGAGACTACATACCTAGATACACAGAATAGGAAAGCGTGGCTGGAATTTGCTTGGCTAATTCTGTTTAGAGGAGAATTAGTACTGGCTCTGCGTCGTTTCAGTGACCAAATAACAATGATTATTGAAATGAGGCTGACGACGACATGATAATGGCACCATGACTTAGAATTCTGCTACAGTTCTCCATCTACGAGTACCACTTTTGCTAATACAGTCCGACGTAGATGGCTGGATAACCGTCGCAAAAAAACAAATACATAACACCGGCAATAGTTGCAACAACAACAACAACAACGATAATAACAGCAACAGGACCAAACCAAACATAACTGCACGTTGCACGTTGAACAAGCGCACATCGAGGGCTATTTGTTTTGGCAATACAACCGTCGTGAGTCTCTACCAGTCACCAGGTGAACCTCCGAGGCTGTACTGCTTTTTGGACACGATAAGAACAAAAGGGGATGTAACAGCGAGCGTTTTCCATTGTACGGACACTGCGGCATAAACCTTTCATCACAGAAAATGTATAGAATTGACGGGCAAAAAACACTTACGGGAGATGGAAAGGTAACGAGAGAAACCGGGCATATAGCGGTCAATTGGACACAGAAGTAAAATCCTACTGGTGGCCAAGGTTAGTGGATCTAGTTGTAAGGTTGCCGGACTGTGTGATACTATCGTTTTCCTTTTTCTGTTCTTTCGTTCTCACGGTCTGCGAACTGTATATCGTGGTTGTTAGGCTTTAGAATAGCGTGCAAGTTGCGAGATGTAAATCTGCATTGGAGATGTAAAGCTGCAAGAAAAGGTCATGTATCGTGAGCGTTTCTCAGGGTCTGGGCACCTAATAAGTATGCGGCTTCCGAGCAAACCTAGCCTATAGAAGAGAGGAGATACA